CTCTTGCACTCCTACTTGCTCATCCCAGCCCCTAGAGGTCGCCTCGATGCTCCGCCACCTGATCCAAGCGGTCCCATCACTCCGTGTGACGCGCCGGTCACGTGCTAATTACCTCCGGCCGCTTGCTGACTGATGCTGGCCTCATGGTGACTCGTATGCGTCCGCACCTTCGGTATTTTGATGGAAACAAGAGAGGGAGTATGCTGGAGGGTGGGAATGAGGACGACGCCCCTCGATGGAAGTGTCCGTGGGCCCCGGAGCTAATTCGCCTAGAAGTCGCATAGATTAAGTCACCTCGGAGCTTGCGTTTGCGGAGATAAATCGTGGAATGGGTCCGTGTATATCTTGGGGATGCTAGGAAGTCCGGAGCTAAATAGAGCAATTCTTTAGAGCCCATAGAAGCCTAGTGGCGTGTGAGTGCTGTGTCGAATAAGCTCCGGAGGGCTTGTACGATGTGCTGAGTCCGCGTTTTCGGGGGTCAGACGATCCTGAGGCTTATCAACGGCGCCACGGCATTCCCAAATCTCGGAATTCAACATACAGAAGTGACAGAGATATAAAGACGCCAGGACTGCTGAACACACAGTGTTACCATTTGCATCCGATTCCCATGCAATAGAATTTACCGGCCACACAACGTGATGTGGTATCCTCCCATCCGCTCCCTGGGTCTTGCATTATGCGATAATAAGAGAGGAAGCGTGGTACGAGGCACAGTGCCAGAAGCACGGCATGCATGTACGAAGATTTATACGTGTCACGGTGATTGCATCATAGTACTAGTATGATATGGAATATGGTCGATGGTCATCTCGTATCAATGAACTCCATATCGCTTGGGTACATGCGGAACGACTCGGATATCTGTCGAATTGTATCATATCGGCATGACACAATGAGAGCAGCCATCTATATCAGAGCAATGGGAAGGTCCTTCGATGCAAGATATGATGGGCACGCACCGTTGATCCTGGGGTGCAGTAAGTGCGCTGCGGGAGGAGCCACTGGCCAGTGACAACGTTCCATCGCTGCTATCATGATGCAGTTGTAGTAAACAGAGACCACGGTTGCCATCCCCGTAATCGAAGAGAGGGGATGTTGGCATCCAGATACGGCATCACGATGTAACAGTGCTAGACGTTGAGTAGACGTACCACTGGCAGCTGATATCAAGCACTGGGGTGTATCCACATAGGCAACTGGCCTGAAGGCGAAAAGGTGACTCGCATGAAACACCGTCTCAGTAGTCGCCGCGCTGCCTGAAAAACAAATTGCACGTCGAGAGCGATGTGGGAGATGACACTGGAAATAACCGCCTATCTATGGCCAACATGATCGTAATGTGACGCGAGGGCCATCACACTGAATCTGGAATAGCAACGTCCACATCGCAGTTCAACACCGGAGCCCAGTCGCATGATGATATCGGTCAAGTCCCATACACGCCGCAGGGATGTCATCAGTGATTTTATGAGCCTAAAGGTAACAATCATCTCAGCCAGTCCCCATGGAATACTGTCATCAACCAGATCATGTTTGTGCGGTGGGCTGAGCTCAGGTGCATGGGAACCCTATCGGAATAGATAACTACCTCAGTAGTTCCTGGAGCGATACTGATATGAAGCACGGCGACCTAAATACACGTACATGGACGACACTGTGACTCGAGACACCGATGTCCTTGTTGAAGCAATGGCCAACACTCTCGAAGGCCCCAAGTTCGGTCACGGACGAAGGGAGATGTCGTATTTCATCTGATACGACCGGGAGGATTGCCGGGGTAATGTCTTGAGGGGAGTGTGAGGACAACAGTTTTGGCGAAGGACAGGGTAAGAGAGGTAAATAAACAGGTTACACCGACGTGCGAAAGGGACTAATTGGAAAGTAGGACTTCATACCAACCGCGTACTTCGGAAATCAGGGAGGGACCACTCACACCATTCCTTCACCTCCTGTCGAAGCCGTTCTGACGTGCGTGTAGAATCGCAAAATCCGGTTCATCAAGGGAGAGTTTCGAAGGGGATCCTGTACAGCGTGATAGGTTGCTGCAGCAGAAGTAATGTGGAGCAGCAAGGGTTCACGAGGGGAGAAAGACCGCCTTGCGGTGAACACAAAGCCGTGGGGAGCACAGGCGTGTCGAGGGCTCCGGTGTGCATGGCACACAAGACAAACGTCGACGAGATTTCTGGCGGGAAGCCCTGCTCAAAAGATGATATCTTGACACATTCGGAGCATGTCCTACAACCAAACATATGCCCGAGTGCTCAGCGGCGTCTACGACTGCTGGCGCCAGAACCAAGGTTCCGCTTACAATGGCGTCTCAGATGCGGCCGGGGTGATATTGACCCTTATGCGGTCCGATAAGACTCCGTCCCGTTCCTGCCCCATTTACGAACAATTAGTGCGGGCTTGTCAAGCGAACTGCGACAAACTATACATTGTTACTCAGCTCGAAGCCATTGAGAAGTGAAGTGTACCATCTTCTGCACTACTGCGACGATATAAGCTCAATGCTCGCCAGAGCGGGATGAGGCAATCCAAAGCAGAGGCCGGCGGGCATGAGATGGGTGGTCGAAGGTGGGAGAAGTAGGTACAGCCTTTGTCCAGCAGCAGGCTCGATAAATCTGGAGATGTCACCCGAGCGCTTTCTGTTCGTCCCACGGTTCGCGACACGGCAGAGAGTGAGTCCAGAAATGAAGGAGAAAACAACAAATGAAAGCATGAATTGATGTGTCTTCATTGCAACCTTCAACGCTTGAGAATATGAAGTGGTATATCCAGGCAGCTCGGCAATGTGCTAGACTGTCTGTCCGTTACCCCTCTCATCCCCGCGTGTCGTAGATTCAAGACCATGTTGTTCATTAGAATGGTCGGAATAACCACCATCCAGGGATATGGCTCGAACGACACACTCTGGCCGTCGGAAAGAACATCGATCAGTATGCAGCTTGCCAAAGTGGCAGTGACACTAGCCATAAAACGTGAGTGATATCCGGAGAGAGGTGTTGGCGTGCAGCATCACAAAAAAGGTCGGAGTTGGTACACGCACCACAGATAGTACCACAAGGTATCCCGAGTGAGTATAAACACCAGGCGTCCACCGTATCCCCAGAACGCAGGCATTCCCATCCTCTCTCGAGTCTTTGAATGTTGAACTATTCTGTGCAGGAACAGGGACAGCATAAGGATATCGAACACTAGAGTCGGCAAGCTTTACGCGTTTGATTGATGGGCAATACATTCCTAATGTTTCCGCGAACTTACAATATGAACCCGATACCGCCTGCATCCGCGTCCGCCTCCAGAGCGCCACTGGATGGTATGGCGAAGTACAAGGTGGCAGCGAGTTCCACCGCGAAGACAATGGATACAAGTCCGAGTATGCCGCGGTCTGCGACACATAAGTGTCGAATTTGCCAAGCATCCGTCCCACTTACGGTATTCAAAGAAGGCATGCAGCCTCATTTGCAAGATCACTATTAAGAGGTCTATGATAATGTGGACCCAAAGCTATTACACGGCTGACCGACCTTCGATAATTGTAACTATGACAAGGCCTGAAAGGATAGGAGCGATGACCGTGAATTACGGATCATAGGTCCAGTTCGGACGGACGAACCTGCTAGACTCAGAGGGGATCTTCCTTCTATGTATTTTACAATTCTACGATATTGTTCATTCCTTGAGGGACATACCGGAGAAACCCTCGGTTTGAGTTACATATCCTAGAATCCTTCATCATCTATCATCAGTGTCGCTCTCACGAAAACAAAACCGGACGATAACTGACCTCCAATTGACAGCGTCTGAGAATACAGTAAGGATGATTATGATGGAGTATCCAAGCCCCGAGTACCTATTCTGGGCGAGGAAATCATATTAGGACCTGCCTAAATAAAGATGTGCCGGACATAGAAGCTCGCCAGTAGATACAAGACCTTCAGCCACGTCCACCTAGTAGGCTGAGAAAAAGGAAGCGGTTAACAAGTTCAAGAATTGAGTGAAACCCTTCTTACCCACATAACTTCAACCTGCGCAGACTTCAGTAATTGATCATCCGGTCTGGAAGCATCGGTGACACACTAACCTCTAGTGGTATCGTCGACACTGAGGCCGTATCGTCGGTTAGAGTGCAGCGCCAACCGATGTACGGAAAAGCGACGTACCAAAGTGACAGAAGTATAACGACGCAAAGACCGCTGCTCACAGAGTCGGAGAAACTTTAGGATACGATGTCAGATTTACGTTTGGGGCACTTACAGAATAGACAATGCGACGCAGTACTCTCTGCTGCTGTCGAGAAAGTGGTCCCGGTCCCCCATGTATCCATTATCGCACGGGCAGGAGGGAGATAGAGATATGACACAAGAAGAAACGGAGACATAGCGGGCGTGTGTGGGGCATTATATGTCGCACCGCACTATCCCTGTTGGATGGCCTCTATACTCGTATCTGCCCAAATGGACCCACTGTGTCCCACCGGGGTTTGTGCAGAACCTGACCCGTCTGATAACATCAATATATCAAGATGAAAGCAGCCATCTATTAGAAGGATGAGAACATACGCCTATGCACGATATACACTCAATGTGCTTATTGACCAATGGCAAAAGATAGCATAGCAGCTCCGATGTCGGAGTTCAGCGCTCAGCAGCGAGGGACCATGAGGGTGGTACCAGTAAAGCCACACTCGCGCCACAGTGGCGCGGATGACCAATGCTTGGGAGTTCATCAAGTCGGGATCGACGAGAGAAACTCCCCGGGTACGAAACCTGTCGATAGAAACTGGACATTATCGAAACCTGATATGAGGGCAAGCGAACTTGGGCCTCGATGTGATTACAGCGGTCCTGGCCTTCGGTCAGTGAAAGCCGGCCTAAGTAAGATGCCGAAGGGCACCACTAAGATAGCCTTGAGGGCATGGCGAAACTACGGGGACAAAATTGTCGGCCGAGCTCTGCAGAACTGACCAATTTGATCATTGGTGCATCTTCGCTGTGTGGAAAGGGACCTACGCGTGTTTGGTAAGAATCAAGGTATTTCCGCAGGCAGGCTCCGTTTCCTTGAGCGTGTCCAAACAGAGTGAACGGAACGGGATATGTTGTCGATTGCGAGTCTTCTATCTTGAACAATTCACATTCTCAGCCGGGTATGATATGTTCAGCGAAGCCAGTCCGATATGGGAGACTAATCTAATTTCGGTACGGTATGTAGAGGACCGGTATTGCGGGTGAGACATAAACTTATCATAAGCATGGAAGAAAGCACTCATCCTGATCTTTCCTACATGCATTCCCGAAACATTCCCCCAGAGAGGATCTCACTGAATGCCAGGGCCTGGAGTGGTTTTCAGAACTCACTAAGTACTAGTACTAGTATGTCTGATGTCGGATACTCTCATGCTCGTCGTGACACGTCCTTCCAGCCGCAACGGGATAGCCTGAGACAATTTCGTAACCGTAGCGAAAACTCAATATACCCCTGCCGCTAAGAGGTAGATCATGATCATAGTATGTAGGTCGCCAGGCCCCCTGAAAATACCCATAGTGGTCTGATACCAGTTTTGGTAAAAATCACCCTCAACTGGGTGCCAGGTCTGATACAGTTTTGGTAAAGGACCTGCCGGTGGGATCAATCTTGGATACCAATTTTCGGGTAAAAACAGGCATCCAGAGCAAAGGTCGGATACTATTTGGGTAACAATTATGGCCACAACAGTGCCACAACTTGCCACAATAATCAGGTGGTGAGATTCTTGAATTCCATATACACCAGTGCACCTCGGAGAGGCTCATAAAGCCCATACATAACTGAATCTGGTATCACCGCAGGCACTGGAATTTTTTTGTGAATAAATAAATATCCTCAAGCCCTCAGGTTGGATACCAATGTTTCGGTAAAAATCACGTCTAAGGCGAGAGGTCGGATACTTTTCGGGTAAAACAGATCCCAATATGGTAATTTTGGTTTCGGTAAAAATGGGGGGAAAGTTGGTATCTGGTATCAGACCTCTATGGGTATTTTCAGGGGGCCTAGGTCGCCACGAGCTCAGGCCTGCTCAGGCGCAGCCACAGTGGCAGCCCTTCTGTTTGGTGTTGTTGTGCGGACGAGTTAGAATTTGACCAAGTCCGCGTCTCCTTTCTTAAACTTACCGGACTCGGTTTATTTCACCTCTTGCATATCGGAGGATACCACAAAATGGACCTTTCCGTACGTTCTTCTAGTCATGGCTGAAGATTTCTGGGTGACAGTGAGCTAGGCAGGGTCCAAATGCTCTGAACAGGTCGATGCAAGGCCTCTGGTCGTCGCACAGGCGCAAAGTCAACCTTAACACCATCCCTCCCCCACTTTCCACCAGCGCATCACCCGCACCGACTCCAGTCAATGAAGACGTATTAGTCGCGACTGTACAACCCGGTGCAAACGGCGATATGGAAGTTGCTGTACCAGAATCCTCGTCTGCCTTGTCGAAGCCGGCAGACGTTCAGCCTGCCTCGGATGCTCCGCCAACGTCTAACAAGCGCAAGACACGTTCTTCACGGGCCGCTGGAGATGAGAGCAATAAGCGGACTAAGTTGAACTCGGGCTCGGTTGCTGGAAAGGACTACTCTCCGCCGTCCACAAGGCTTTCGGATTTGGGTGGGATAAGCGGCTGCGTAGAAAAAATGCTGGAGCTGGTAGCAATGCCGATATGTCATCCAGAGGTATACCTCTATACTGGTGTGCAGCCGCCGCGCGGGGTGCTTCTACATGGACCTCCGGGTTGCGGGAAGACCATGCTAGCGCACGCTATGGCAGGGGTGAGTGTTGGCATCGAGCGTAGCGTGAATTGGATGTTTGACGAATGTGTAGGAACTTGGGGTTCCGTTCATAAGCATCTCGGCGCCGTCAATCGTTTCTGGCATGTCTGGTGAATCGGAGAAGACGTTGCGGGACACATTCGAGGAAGCCAAGGTCGGTCCACCAGGTATTCCAGCTTTCTGATCATGTATTCAAGCCTCAGCAGCGTTTGGCACCTTGTTTATTGTTTATCGACGAGATAGATGCTATAACGCCAAAGCGCGAGAGTGCACAAAGAGAGATGGAGCGGCGGATAGTTGCCCAGTTTCTCACTTGCATGGACGGTATGTACTCAGTTTTTGTTGTCGATATGCTGAGTTTCTACGCGTGCCGCAAGATATGTCTTGGGACAAAACCGACAACAAACCTGTCATGGTCGTCGGTGCCACGAATCGCCCCGATTCTCTGGATGCCGCTCTGCGTCGCGCAGGCCGCTTTGATCACGAAATCGCGATGGGTGTTCCGGACGAAGAAGCACGGGCACAGTAAGTGTCTTTTGTTATTCCACCGCTTCGCCGTCAAAATGAAGTGAGATAAGGATCCTACGCGTGCTCTGTGCAAAATTGCGCCTCGAAGGCGCATACGATTTCAGTGCCTTAGCCAAAGCTACGCCAGGGTACGTGGGTGCTGATCTTGCAGCACTGACAGGCGCAGCAGGCATCATCGCTGTGAAGCGCATATTCCAGGAGCTGTCCAACGGGACGTTGGTCATTCCAGATTCAGAGGCACCTGTCGTAGACAGCACGGTGGGTGACGGTATGGTAATCGATGGGCCACCAGAATCGCAAAATGATGTTACCACGTCTAAACCTCACGTCCCCTTCTCCTCCCTCCTCTCCGCCTCCCTCAGCTCCGCCGCCGCTTCTTCCATCATTCACTTCCTCCAGGCCCACCCAAACCCCCTCACCGAGGAGCAGCTCTCCCCCATATGCATCACGCACGCTGACTTCCTGCAGGCGCTCAAGGAGGTGCAGCCTTCATCGAAGCGCGAGGGCTTCGCGACAATCCCGGACGTCACCTGGGCGGAGGTGGGTGCGCTGCACGGAATCCGCGAGGAGCTACACATGGCGATCGTGCAGCCGATTAAGAGGCCGGAACTGTTCAGGGCGGTGGGTATCGAGGCGGGATGCGGTGTGTTGATGTGGGGCCCGCCGGGATGCGGGAAGACGTTGCTCGCAAAGGCGGTCGCGAATGAGAGCAGGGCGAATTTCATTAGTGTTAAAGGGCCGGAGCTGTTGAATAAGGTAAGGACGAGCGAAGTTGGGGATTCAGCAGCTGATTGTTGATTCATTGTGTAGTATGTTGGAGAGAGCGAAAGAGCGGTCCGTCAGGTGTTCAGCCGGGCGCGGGCTTCTTCTCCTTGTGTCGTCTTCTTCGACGAGCTGGATGCGCTAGTGCCGCGGCGTGACGAGGCTCTGGTGCGTCATGAATATAATCATGCAGTGCTCCAACTTACCCCTTCAATAGTCGGAATCGTCGGCTCGAGTCGTCAACACGCTGCTCACGGAGCTTGACGGCCTTGACTCCCGCAAAGGCGTCTACGTTCTTGCTGCCACCAATCGACCGGATATGATTGACCCCGCCATGTGCCGTCCGGGTCGTCTCGACAAGCTCCTATACGTTGATTTGCCGTCAGCGGACGAGCGTGTAGAGATTATCAGGACTGTCACAAGGAAGGTGCCGCTGGGCAGCGATTCCGTCCGCGGCGAGGTCGAGGAGATCGTCAGGGAGCGCTGCGAAGGCTACAGCGGCGCAGACCTTGCCGCCATTGTGCGTGAAGCCGGGGTGATTGCACTGCGGCGCACCCTCGGGAAGCTCGAGGAGCTCGAACAGGGCCAGGATCACGGTTTTTTGCAAGAGGGGAACGCACAGTTGTTGGTGGAGGTGTCCGATTTCGTCCAAGCTGTGGACAAAATTGGGCCCAGCGTTAGTACGGCCCAGCAAAGACGTTACGCTGCTCTGCGCAATAGATACGCGGGCCTGCCTGTGGCCGGAGGGTCGAAAGGGAAGGATGATAGCCTGCAACAGTAGCGGATATACTGCATGCGTTGCGAGCCGGCTCCCCTGTGGTAGTACTAGTCGTACAGGTAGAGTTTACCAATAAAGTTACTTAGAGGCGTCTGTGGCAGCAGGATATCGATGCTAGTGCCGACATAAAAATACCCCGCTTCCACGGCGAGGGAGCAGACAAGCGGTGGGAAGCCAAACATACGCAAGCAACGCGGGGACTACACCGCGACGACTCGGACCGAATCGTAGGCCGGTTCAGTGAACCATGGCTCCTTTCTTGCCGCCGAAGATTGCTTTGCACGGGCTGAAGGAACGGGTAGAGTCTTTGACTGTGCAAGGTGAGTATAGCGCGAGGCTTCATTTGACGTCGTATGCTGATGTCCTGACAGGGGACAGATTATATCTGGGGACAGCTACTGGCAGCGTCAGCGTATACAGCCTAGATGAGAATCCGGGTATGTCGGACAAAGCGGTAGCTAAAGGAGTGTCCAGTCATGATGCCTGTGATAGGGCATGAGGAGGAGATAGCAACATTGGTGGAGGTTAAGAAGAACTTGGTGAGGCGGGCTGTAGAGCAGCTGGGATTCGTCAAGGATATCAATTCTCTGGTTCTTCTTTCAGGTGAGTCATCACACAGAGAGTCGCTTACGACACGTCTGATGAGAGTCAGAATCAACTATCACCCTATTCCCTCTCCCTGACTTCGTACCCCCGACCCTGCTGCCCAAGGCAAAGGCAGCGTTCTCCTTTGCTGTAAATTCGTCGGTACAACAGGGCCCTGATCCCGTCAATCAGTCGACGACGGGCGATTTCGAGAGGCCGAAGTCGGTGCCGACGTTGGTCACCTATCTTGCAGCAGGGTGTCGGAGGAAGCTGGTGATATACTCTTGGAAGGATGGAGAGGCACAGGAGCCAAAGGTACGATACGATAGCCTTGTTCTCTCGATAGGCAATGGACGACACACCAGTAGGAAGTTCCCCTCCCTCATTCCCCCCGAGTTATGGCTTTCATGGGACACCAGGCCATATGCCTTGCATATTCCGCCACTGAGTTTGCCCTTTATGACTTTGCTACCAACTCCGTTAGTGACCTGGTAGTACCGCCAACTGTGACGACGGCTGCCGGTGGCGTCGGTGCGTTAACCGGTCTTGGCAGCTATATGACCTTGGGGCTCGGAGCGAAAGCCAAACCGTGTCTTGCGAAGATCAGCGACACACAAGTCTTGCTTGCAAAGGATAGTGAGTGCAGGAACAGGGTCTATCATCGTATCAGCGTCAACGTAACAGCACAGATGTCGGTATTTTCTTCGGGCCTGACGGCAAGGTATCCAGAAGTGGGACTGTTGACTGGCCTGGTCCCCCGGATGAAATCAGTAAGATTATTTCCGTCAACCCTGCGCGATGACGCTTAGCATGCATCGCAGCCTACGTAAAGCCCTACGTCCTGTCCGTGTTACCCCCCGGCGCCATCCCAACCTCTACCTCCGACGCGTCCCAGTCGCCTCTTGCGCAGTCATCCGCTATCCAAATCCGTTCCGGAATCTCCCTTTCCACTGTCCAAACTATCGCACACCCCTTCACCTCCGGCCCTGCACCTCACAGCACCATCCGCCTTCTGACGCACTCCTCCAGCGCCAAAGCGACGTCCTACTTTGTTACCACACCCATAGACCGGAACGCAGCTGCATCCGAGGGTAGCTCCCTATGGCTTCTGCGGATGCGGACGTGGACGGAGCAAGTCGACGAGCTGGTCGCCGCTGGGTCGTACGCCGAGGCCCTGGCCTTGCTGGACGTCATCGACCCTTCCGCGCTCCCAGACAAGGTATGGACCATCGCTCGAGTGACATTTTGTATCGACCGCTCACCGCGAACGACAGGAGGAGACGCGCGCCCGCATACGTGCGCTGCACGCGGTGTCACAGTTCCGCGCGGGCAACTACGAGGACGCGATCAACACGTTCATCTCGCTCGACATCAACCCCGCCAAGGTGGTCGCTTTGTACCCCGAGAGCGTCGCGGGCCGGCTGTCCGTTCCCCCCGATCAGTGGATACCGCTCTTTGGTGGCCCAGAGACGGCCTCCCCTGATGCCGGGAAGGACAAGGATACCGACAGCGATAAGGGGAGCGCCACCGCGAAAGACACGCCGGAGCGGACGGCGACGCCTGTGGGGAGTATTAGGGAGAAGCTGAAGACGAGCCTGGACGCGTTCATGCCGTCTGGCTCGAAAGATCCTGAGACCGCTTCTATCACCAGCGTCAGGCGAAGGCAGAAGCCCGGTGTGTATCCTCAAGTTTCATCTTTTAGTGCACTAGATTTCATCCCTGCTCCGTAGATAATTTCCATCGCTCCGTGGAGACTCTCCTCAGGTACCTGCCCGACCGACGACCTAAAATCGCCGCTGCACTCGCTGCCGTACATATAACGCCGTCGCAGTCCCACCGGCTGTCCCCGCTATCGGAGACGTCGACCGAGGAACTCTTCGCGCTCCCTGACGCCCCTCTGTCGGCGCTGACACCAGATCAGCTGCTGCGGTATGCCCAAGTGGTTGATACGGCACTGTTCAAGTCGTACCTCATCGTGCGGCCGGGGCTGCTTGGTCCGCTGTGCCGGACGGAAAACTGGTGCGAGGTGTCCGAAGTCGAGGAGGTGTTGCTTGCGCGGGAGGTACTTACCTTCGCCCGTGCCTCTTTTCTCTATCGTGCTGACGATCTGAACCAGAAATACTCCGAGCTGATATACCTCTACAATGGGAAGAAAATGCACCAGAAGGCGCTGGATCTGTTGAAGCAGCTGAGTGAGAAGGAGGAGGATATGGAGGACAAGCTGATGCCGTCGATTACGTATCTGCAGCGTCTGGGCCCGGAGTATCTGGACCAGATCTTCAAGTCATCGCGGTGGTTGCTCGAGAAAGATCCAGATATGGCGTTTCAGGTATGGATGAGATTGACCTGCCTGCCGGTTGCCGCACTGAAGAGGTGATAGATATTTACTTCCGAGGAAGTGGAGTTGCCGCGGAAGCCCGTTGCGGACTTCTTGGAGAGTATTGACCCGAGGATTTGCGCGAGGTATCTAGAGTACTCGTTGCAGGAGAAGGAGGAGCGCGACCCCAGCTTCCATGATCGATTGGCGGAGGTATATCTGCACATCACGCTCCATGCCCAGGAGGTGCACGACGAGGGTGAGTCCCGACGACCATGTGTATAGCAGCCACCAAATGACGTGTCGTTGCGTGGGCAGCGATGCGCAAAGAGTATTACGACAAGTTGTTGCATTTCCTGGATTCAAATGGCTATTACCACGTAGAGCATCTGTTTGGGATGCTCCCCATGGAGGGTGAGCTATCTGTATCCTGGAGAAATCGGCTGCTCGATTCGATTTTGTATAGAGCTATTCGAAGCTCGGGCTATTCTCCTGGGTAAGCTGGGGCGACATCAGCATGCGCTGGAGATCTACGTATATCGGCTACACGACTACTCTGCAGCAGAGTCGTGCGTACCATTGCTTATGTTTCGTGAGGTCGTTCATGAACTCTTTTCACCAGGTACTGCAAGAGGATATACCAACCGGACTCGCCGACTAGTAATGTCTTTCTGACACTGCTGCGGATATACCTTCGCCCGACAACTCAGACGTGTGATATGCTGAAACCAGCGTTGGACCTGATCACCAGGCACAGTCCCCGTTTAGATGTAGTGGAGACATTACAATTGCTTCCTCCGTTGGTCACAGCGAAGGACGTCCGGGCTTTCCTTGTCGAGGCACTGCGGGTCCCCATTTTTGACTCGCATGTCATACGGGAGATAAGCAAGGCGCGCAACGAGCAAATTGCCAGGAAACTGATGGTGCTGCAGAGTAACCGAGTGAAAGTGTCGGATTCGAGAATGTGCGTGCATTGCTCCGCTTCCCGAGTTAGCTACGTGTTTACGGTCTGGCATAGATGTCCGCAGTGCCATAAACGCCTAGGAAACAGCGTCATTGCTGTGCATGCACCGAGGTGAGTGTGGCCTGTGTTACTTCCAAATCTTGTGCGCTAAAGATGCGCGCAGGGGCGAAGTGACTCATTACCAGTGCCGCGAGGCATTCTCGCGCAGACTGAACGAGGTTAGACGGTGACCCGCTGGTGTTCTGCTCTTTGTAACTACCATATTATACGTTGTACTACTTTCCAAGAGAACGTAATATCCTGCTCTATTGGTTGAGCTCACGATGGACTCGGTGAGTGCGCCGTTTGATGCGCACCGCGAACCAAACAAGTAAACAGTTCACGCACGGACGTCAAAGCGCCGCAGCCGCCTGTCAGCGAGCCAACGAACCACACAAGCGCTCGACCAACGGACGGTCCGAGCCATGCCTGTAGAGCTCCCAAAGTACTTGCCTCTTTGTCCCATTCCGTTCGGTCGACCTCTGATATTCTGACTGCAGCGACCATGCGAGCGTCCAATACAACGGGCAGCCGCGACTGGCGCCGGCGGCGATGGAGCACAATCTCAGGGTACGGCGTCCGTCTCGTTAGCTAGAATCTACGGGATCTTGAAGGGGGAATTCTGACGCTACAGGACTTGAATCATGGTATCAACCCGCACCTGGCTGGGGCGGTTAATATGCAGCAGAGAGGCTCGTTCCAAGGCCACTTCAGAGTGTCTGACTCGCCCGACCAAATGATGTTCCAGGAAGACCCGAGCAGAGCGTCCCAAAATCACGCTGATCCATCTGGCTCACGTCCACCTACGCACGATATGCAGGTATCGCCGGTAGTGGACCCACAACTCGGGAACAAGCGGAAGGAGATGGAGAACATGAATGGCGCTCAGGTGAAGAAGAGGAGGGAGGGCGAGAACGGACTGGACGATAACTCGATGTTTGCGGAAGGACAAGATGAACTGGACTTGGATATGCAGTCGAACGAACTGGATTTCGGGTTGGGTGCCCCGAAGCATTGGACAGATGAAGAAAAGACCAAGTTTTTCGCTTGGCTCATGGGAGCTGGCCAAGATGATCACTGGAACGCTCTGCGAGCGAGCAAGAACGCATGCTTTCGAGAGGTACGGTGTACCTTCCACGCTCAGGAGGGGTCTGAATGATCACGGTATCTGCAGTGTGCCGACCAGCTTTTCGGTGGCAAGAAGACTATGCAGGCTTTGAAAGGCGCTTATGAGCGCGGGTTCAATGTCTTCAAGCAGATCTACGCGTTTGAGATGTTCTCGCGTCGGCTGGGGCCTATGTCCATTAATATGAATAGCCAGGCAGAAAGATTGAAGGAGTATGAGCGTCGACTGCAGGCTGCTCGGAAAAATGGATGCGACGTTGGAAATATCAATGCTCGTATTGTAGATCATTGGCATACAATTGGCTGGTACGACCTATTTTATCGGCGGTACGTTGCCGTCCTTTCGCTCCATTGTCGCATCGCTCAAGAAAGTATGATCTTCAGGTGGCACGGAGATCCGATGAGCACCCGCCCTATCAATCGGCAGACTACAGCTGGCCCGTCGTCCGCTGCGACCGTTGGAGACGAAGACGCGGAAGTCGAAGAGCAACTCAACGCCCACGACTACAGTAACGGGCTGAGTCACCAAAATGCGGGCCCATCCCAGGTCGACCGCAGCTTCTCCAGCGATCCGTCCTCCATGCCTGTGCAACAACCACTCCCTTTTCCATCTAATCCCCAGTATCTAGTGCCGCAAATGGCACCTCCTCTCGGCACGCCGTCCAGTAGTCGAGGCACCCTACCAGGGTCCGAGCTTGCACAGCTCGTCGGGCTCACACAGACGGTCATGACGACGTACGTGCATCTCCTGCAGACGCAGTCCGAGGACGCGAAGCTGCGACTCGAGTTCCTGAAGCGCAAGGAGGCGCGGGAGGAGGAGGAGAGCCGGCAGCGGCGCGAGGCGGAGCAGCGCCGGCAGGAGCGCGAGGTGGCGGAGTGGGAGCGCGCGAAGACCGCGGAGACGGTCAAGCAGCGGACGGCGCTCGCGACGGAGCTGCTGGCAAATCCTGCTGTGGATGCGTCTATCAAGCAGGCGGCAGGGGATTATTTAAAGAGGTTGTTCATGGGAGATTGACAGCTTTTCGGATGACGCATTGCTCTTGTTTATTATATAGCTTACCCTTTCGCTAACGACTCGCAGAGTTAGGATGTATAATTATATGTAACTGTACGAGCTCAAGTCAAGCCAGTGGCTCGGTCTATGCCGATGAACTGGTCATTCCATACAGGAGGCTATGTTACCTCACTGAGCCGAGGAATGGGGGGTATCGTAACGACAGGTTCCACCTGCCACATACTTGCGCGCGGAGACAATGGAGACAATGGGTCAGGGCGATCTCTGAGGGCAAGACTTGTGTGTGAGCGATTACTGGACCCCCTGGTCATAGGGAAGTGAGCAAGAGTTGTGGAGACCCCGAAGCGCAGAACATACCGACTGGTCCCGAATACCACGACCCGCAAGCAGCTCATCCCTAGGAGTCATGCGTCCTGCTGTATGGGATGAAGAGCAGGCGATACCACTGCGCTCCCGGAGCATCCCTTCCATGTGGTCCGTAGCCTCGACAGATCTAGAGGGATGTGACCAGGAAGCATCTCCGCGGCGCCAGAGATACCTGCTGGCATCGCGCAGATTCAAGATCATGTTGCTGGCCAACATCCTCGGAACGAGGATCATCCAGGAATATGGCGCCAATTGCTGCGTCAGTTGGACTGCAAACAGAGTACTAGTATGCCCGTGATAAGGGAGACTGTAACGCTAGAAACGAGGCATCAGTTTCCAGTCCTGACCACGTCCCGCTGAAGCTCTTGGCATATACAGATGCAATCAAGAAATAGCACCACAAGGAATCCCTGGTCAGGATGATCATGAGACCTCCACGGAACACCCAATATGTCGGAATTACCATTTTCGCCCGTGATGTCGACCGCTTGGTCGTCTTGTACAAGAATAAGGACAACATCACAACGTTGAAGATCACAGCAGGCAGGCTTCAGTGACGTTTGTCAGAGGTATCCCCATGAGGAGGTCAAGTTCAGATAACCATATATGCATCCGATTTGTTGCGGAGAATGAGGGGAACGAAATAGCAAATTCTGCTGCGAAGCCAATTGATAAGACGGCCATTGTGACGCGATCTGCACAAAGATAAATCATAGAGACATCGGAAGAAACACGGTCGGCCCACTGTAATCGAAAAGCGCGTGCAGCCTAAGTTGTAAGATGATATACTTTATCAGTAACTGGGATACAAGAATGACTTGAGTGATACCCACCTTCGATAATGCAGACCAATGCGAAGCAGCGTCAAGCGACCGGTTTCAAGTCGAACGCCAAAATTCCATCGTCCCTGTACAAGTTCAACTGAGTGACATCGGGGACATTCACACGGGTTAGGTATCTGACCGGGTATAACCACACGAATTAACACTACGGACACCGAGAGACCAAAGTATCGATTCTGCGTGAGACAACACGCATCAGCACGCCATTTATTTCGTGCGGCGGAGGCGGGAACTTCCTAGTCGATACAGGATCTTCATACACGTCCGCTTGCCAGCGCACTGAGCGGGATAATCACCCTCGGCACTTAAGCTTGGGGTCGAAAAGCTTGAACGCACTCATATTACTTCCACCTGGTAGATGTAATGTGCTCATTGAAGTCAGCAAATATGTACCAAAGCACGTGAGCTCATGTATGCCAACCTCCAACGGCAGAGTTGAAACTGGGGGAAGATAATAGTTCAGAGCTTATGTATCAGACGTATTGTCTCGACAGGACATACAAAAGTGACAACGGTACATGATGGTAAAGCACTGCACCGATAGTCAGGATGTATGCACTGGAGGCTTGTTTGATACGAACTCACAGAAAAGGTATGCGCCAGCATGTCGCATCTGCAATTGCGAGCGTAAGTCATCCTCACCGTACGGCCACATTCTGTTGGCGGGTACGTTAGAACAACGAGAAGACATACCCCGAGTTTTATAACGAATGTACAGTCTTGCCGGAGCGCTGATAGTCACAGCCTTCGGCTGGCGCATGCACTGGCAGTGAGTTCCGAGGAGCGGCACCAATCTATCAAGTAGGATATCGAGAGGCGGAGCGCTGTGTCACTATTAATGAGCTGTCAGCACCCAAAGTAGATGCTCGTAGGAGTCGTCCCACCGCATACAGGTGCATCAAGATGTTGTTGCTTCCGCGGTTCGGATCTTGACAGTTGGGACTACGCGACCCAGTCGCAGATGCATCATAGCAAGCATCGAGTCCGTCCCGGGATGTACGAAGGGCTATAGAACGTTGCTAGACAGATTGGAGCGTGACTTTGTATACATCACTAGAAGCAACTTGAACATCGTAATCAGACTCAACATCAGGGACTGGGCTGCTCGTGCGGGATGCCCCAAGTGCTTTTCCTCGTCCACTCGATATACTCCTCCCAGTTATGAACCCTCATGCACTGCTCTCTGCTCGCAAGGACGACCCTTGCTCCCCGTGCCCTGAGCTCCTGCTCGTACTCATCGATCAGCTTCTTGCGCTGCTCGGCAAAGTTAGGTGAAGAGACCGGCTCGGAGTACACCTGAGTAATCGCCTGGACAAGGTTGTACGCGTCGAGCACAGCATTATTGAAACCCTCCCCGCGGACTGCAGCGCAGTTCAGACTCATAAGGATCAAAATTAGCAGGCGGAGCACTCACACATCGTCATCGTATGGGCAGCGTCACCTGCGAGTGTCACTCTTCCGTCCAGATTGTCCCAGCCCTCCTGGAGCGGGACCCAGTCGCCGATGGACAGCACGTCAACCTGTATGTTTTCGTGAGTAGTATGGTTCAAGACTGCGTCCTTCAACGGAGGCCAGACATGAGCCAGCTTCTGATGGAGAAGCTGGACCCGACCCTCGTTGCTATCCGGTACGCTGATGTCCCCAGCCCTCTTTTGCCAGCTAACACTCAGTTGGACATGCCAGCGATGCTCCGAGGGAGCCAACGACGCGGTGCCGTTGACCTCAGGGGAAGACATGACGGCATAGAAAAGGCAGGCATCGGCAGCCTGGCTAAGTCCTAAGAACGTAATCGGATCGATTTTCAACAAGGGGGATATCTCCTCCCTCGTAATGTCCAGCTGGATGCCGAGGAACGTGATAGGAAGGATGTTAAGAGCTGCCTTGTCGGAGCACAGGACCGATCGGACGACAGAACGCGCGCCGTCGACGCCGACGAGCATCCCGCCCTCGTACTCGCTGCCGTCCGCGAATACAGCTTTAACTCCATGTTCAGTGGCGCCGTACGAGACCACCGTCTTGTTCCATTGGACGTCCACTCCGCCGCCGCCCTCGAGGAAGAGGTCCCTGGTCTTCTTCCTGTTCAATCGCATTCTCCCGGGAACGCGCATGGCGGTCAGAGGCTCTCCGGTGGACATGTCGAGGATCATCAGATCCGTCATGTCAGCAGCATTGACGGGGTCCACGAGGACGGACGGTATCTGGGCTGACACCACGTCAGGGAGGAGATATCGAATCTTTGGGGCGGAGAACGAGTGGACAGTCAGACCCCATCCTTGGCTCCTCCAACAGCGGCTGCTGTCGCGTTCGAAGACTCGATACGGAATGCCGAGCTACGAGGGGAAACTTCAGTTTGAGTTATATGGGAAGAGTGAGATACGGCGTACTTTCTTCAAAGCTTGGGCGAGGAGGAGGCCTGTCATACCACCTCCGATAATGAGCACGGGGAGCTTACCATCGTTCTGACCGTCGGATGACATCTTGATTACCAGCTACGTCTCTTGAGCAGAACCTCACCTGGTTGCCCATTATATACATTTTCTTTCCCGTTCCAGAGCATCATCTTGAGCAGAGCTACCCGCGCCTCTCGGCCGCATCGCGGCGCTAGAGACTCGAGTAAGAGTCTGTGAAAGAGGACGTACAGGAGACTATAGCGAAAGTACAGCGTCCTCAGCAGTATTCTGATCCTGTCGGCCGCTACCGAAGCGGGCTTAGTCAGTACGCGTTAGTCAGATCACAGCAGGTTCCGGGTAGCGGTCAGACTACACTGTAAGTAGGTGGCGTCAGGACTCACGCCTCCAGGAGGCGTTCTTCTGTCCCTGCGGTGGATGATGCCGAAACAATCCCCGGCGTGTTGCGAAACTCGGACGAGGTCATTGCGAACTTCACGAGCGCATACCAGGACCCTGACTGGCTGGAGAATGACAGAGTGCCGGATTTGACTCCTCAAATACGCTCAGGCGGGACCACGCGGTCATCTAGGCGCTCGAATGACTTTTGAGGGTCACTCCGGGTCCGTATACAACCTAACTGAAACATCGAGGCACAAAGACGTACGTGAGTTGCGGCACAGGCAGGGCCCGTGACGGGAGAGACCGCTTTGAAGGGAACTCAATGCTGAGCGCTCAGCGCTGAGCGGTGAGTCGTGGTATCTTATATCGGTGTCAATTATCAGACTCAGAGGATGACTGTGAAGACATTCTCGAAGGTGACTGCTAGCTCGCTAATCATGACGCAGAATGAGACACTCCCACAAGGCAATGTCCCAGACAGTTCCCTGTATCCTACATGGTACAAGTCACAATAGCAAACGTAAGGTCCATGCTTTTTGTCATAGCAGCGTACCAATTACACACTATGTCCGTCTCTTCACCTCCGCGAGGACATCTCCAATCAAGTGTAACCATGTCCAGGACTTGTCAAGCTCATCATACGCACCATCTATCTTAGCCTCAATCTTACGCGTCATCATTCTACGCAGCAACCTTGTATCTTCCTCTTCACCTTCAACCAGGGTTGAAGCGAGGGACACATGAGAGGCTTGTCCAGACCACGACGGCCCGAGGTCGGACAGCAGAAAGTTGAAGTCAGAACGAACTGGAGAGCCCATTTCAATATCTTTGGACAAATTGTCCAGTATGTCCCCTCTAGACTGCATGAGACATTTCAGTGAGAATTGCCTAGAGAAAGACAAATGCTACAGCATACCTGTACAGCTTGCGTAGCCACACGCTCAGCCTGTCCAATCGACCTCTGTACAGACGTGATAAATTGGTCAGCCTAGAATCAGAGCTTTCAGTATGGCAGAGATATCTAGGGAGTCTTCGGCAACTTACCGCTTTGAGGGAATCCCCAATGCTGCGCAGGTCATTTCGTGCCGTCTCTAGAACACCGTGATATCCCCTTAGAGCTCGCACCCCTTCCCAGTCAGCCTTTCGCCCGTCTCGGTCGGAGGGCTCCAGCAGAGACACATCTCCTAGCCGGCTTGGATTCCTGGCCTCACGCCCGACGGGACAATCACCGCCCTGCAAGTCCACCATGATGTCTAGCTTCGTCGATTTGTCCGGAGCTATCTTCTTCTTCAGCCACGCTTTGAACTTCACAGCGCTTGCTGAAGCAGCATCAGTCTTAGATGCTTGCTCCCCTCCGCTTACACTACTCTTGCAGTCTTTCAGAGAGCAATTTGTTCTTGACCTGCGTATCGAGGGGGACTCGTCATCATATTCAAAGCCAGTACCACCGTCAGGGTGATGCCTAGGGCTCGAGTCTGCCCGGGTTCGAATCCTGCCACTCTCAGGTGTACTCGTCAACCAGGCATCGAGCCAAGCTGGTACCTGCACCAGCCTCTTCCGAGGTGGGGCGCTAGTCCCGTCGCCGAGCTCAGACGAGGTGGCGACCCCGCTGTCCTTATAGATCACGCTGCCGGCCTGGGAGCGCACATCCGTCACAGATCGAAGTGCGAGGCTGAACCGCGAGGAAAAGTCCCTGCTAGGTCGAGAGACAGCTGTCATTTCGGAGTCCGCGGAGTCTGCTGTGAGCGTCCTTGGTCTTTCTCCATGTGTCCAGCTGTCTTGAGGATCGACCTCATCCTGTCTTCTCTTCTGCGTCAATTTGTTTTCGACCGATACCCAAAGTCCTTGCACCCTATCATACAGCTTCCGCACGTCAGCAATCTCCTTCGTAACTTCATCCAGTATGGTCGTATATGAGGCAAACACTTTCTTGTTCTTTTGCGCCGCCTCGTCCAGGACACGGAGCAACTCGTCGACTTTATCCCGCGAACACCCCTCCCGAGCGGCGCGAGATACGTAAGTCAGATCATCGAGGATTCCTTCAGCCAAGGTGGAGGCCTCCGCTCTTTCGTAATCATCGTCAGCGCCCAACTGACCCAGCAGCGGCTCCGACGGTATCAAGGATAATGCGCTGGTGTTCAAAGGCGACGATCTGTACGTGTGCGCTTTCACCGTCCGCTTGGATGACGAGGACGTGGGACGCTCCGTATCAGCGCCAAAAAGGGCCTTGTACCTCGGCTTCGCAACGGCCAAAGCCGTCAGCCTGCAGATTGATAATCCCGTCAATATATAACCACTACAATGTGCGGTCCAACCCACGTACCCCTTCGCATTCCTCATCCTCCTCACATCTCCCGTAGCATCACATTCCAACAGCGCTCGCAACACCTCGCTGCTCTCGCCGTGCGCCGCAGCGACGTGCAAACACGTATCTTCATCCCCGTCTTTCGCCGCTAACGGAGCCTTTAGGTCCTTGACTAAATGGAGCACGAACCTGTATACACCGGCACTCTCAGCCCCCGCGTACCGCGCGAGGCAGTGCAACGGCGTCCAATCCTCCTTCTGCGTGAACAAGCTCAGCTCTGCGCCAGCTCGGTAAAGCGCGTCCAGGACCTCGACGGAGGGGTCATGCGCCATGACGCAGTAATGGATTGCACTCCACCCAGAGGAGTCCGGGAGGTTTACGAGAAGCGGGTCGATAGAGGAGAGACGTTGGGGGAAGAGCAGGGAGAGGAGGAGCGGGAGATCGGAGGAAGTGACAGCGGAGATGAGGGAGTCCGTGAATTTGGATAAGAGCGCACGGCAGAAGCAGTCCACGGAGGGCGGCGTACAAGGCTCTCGAGAGGATAGGGAGGTGGACGACAGGATGAGGTTCGCGAGGGCGTCAGCATGGGGTTGAGGCAACGGAGACAATTTGCGTTTCTTGAATGGAAGATGCCTGAATGAATACGCTATGTTTATTGGACAATTGAGATGCGGACGAACCTCGGCATCTTGGAATCGGCGTCTACGTAGAGACTCTTCGCAGAGCCATAATACCCTCAGATGGCCGACAGCAAATTGGACAGCTGTCCGGCAATGGAGATCGCGAGCGTCTGCTCTGGCACTGTAAGCGAGCTAACAACGGCGTTATCTCTGTTGTCTAGTAGAATGAATTGTTGTCTGCCTACCAGCCACTGTACCACGTCCAGATTACCGTCTCTAGAGGCATCTACATGATGTATTTCCTTGAGTTTCATACCCAAGACAGGTACAGCAACTTACACATTAGAGGAGTAGCCCCATGAGCGTCGACTGCATCCACCAGCAGCCGCCCACCGCTCGAACGAAGAAGCACTTCGAGTGCAGAGGGCAAGTTCAGCCAAGCGGCCATGCCGAGAGCTGTTACTCCGTTGAAGCTCTCTTGGGGGGCATTCAGCTCGTAGATCGACATATCTGCATGGCTCACGATCATCCTAAGTACATTCAGCCGGGCTTCCGACATGAATGATCCCTCCGGGAGCATTCCTACAGCTTGCCAGCTACATCAAGGACATGACTTAAGATCAATACGTTCGATCCGATTAGAAGGCTGAAGTACATACCTCTCGCCCGCTAGCGCACATGTCAAAGCCGTCCTGCCAGCAGCATCGCGCGCCTTGGGGTCCGCGCCCATCGCCAAGGCCCTCCTCGCTCCCGAGTCGTCGCCCTGTATGGCGCACTCGACCAGAAGCGCGTTGAGTATATCCACACCGAGCGCATGCTGAATCACATCTGTAGCCATGAGTCCTACCTGCGGTACTGGCGGAAAGGAGATGACGATCCAAGGCAGGATGTGTAGACGCCCGGCGTCCTTCCCTGTATTCGAGAATGGGGATGCTGTTAGCTAAGATACCCTTCCACGAGAGGCGATGAAATGCGAACCATGCCCGAATCGTTACGCGCGCGGCTACGTACGCCCCGACCCAATTTGTTAGGATCTCCTGCTCCGGGAGTGATTTGTGGGTGCATGACCGCGGCCATCAGGATGGCGTTCAGCCACAGCAACACGCCTTGCACTCAATCTTGCGAGCTCTGAAAGGGACAGCCTGAATTGAAGAGGCATTACGTCTTCCGTACTGGAGCCGGGCGCCTCGGCGGGGATACTGTCGAATTCTCGGAGGAAGGGAAGACTGCCCTCGGGCCTTCGCAAGATACCTAGACCTTCATTTAACTCAAACATATGCCAAAGATATAAAGCAACCTTGTGCTGCAAATGTGCCTTGAATACCTATTTCTTTACCCAGTGGTAGTCGCTGAAGCAGCGTAAATGTAGCCAATATTGCAATGCTGTCGGCATTCCGCTCTGATGTTGTCTGGAATGGGTTTGGATCTAGGAGGCACGTTATGATGGGGGATCGCAGTTCTGTATCGACATCTGGGACGCCACGCTAGATTCTCGTACTGCAAATCGGGATCAATTCGACGAGGAAAAGAGATCAGAAGTCGGGAGTCGGGACTATGCAATTGGACTGTATGTATGGATGTATGAATGTATATAAGATACGATGCTGCGCAAGTAGTAATACTACATTCGACGATGCTTGCGATAGATAGATCGAGAGAGAGAAAAGAGAAAAAAAATGCAGCGACGTGTTGGACACCGGGCAAGCCAAGGCATCGGGGGAATTAACAGACGTGCCAAGATGGAGGCAGCCCGAGAGCGTTCATAAAGCGGCATTACAGAAAGGCGTCCCGGGATAGATTCCCCTACGAGCACGATGCGTCATGAGCAAGGCCGGAAAGACGGACTCCGAACAACACAAACGTACCTTAACCTCCTCAAAGTTCCTAACCGCCCGCTCGAAATCCCACCCATTTCCCTGCAAGCAATCCACCGCAAACTTGACGTTCAACCCCGTCCGCTGACATATTTGCAATACCAGCGTACGTTCCGGTTCCGGCTGCAATTCGAAATGCGATTTGAAAAAGGATAAACAGAAACGATCAGCCATGTAAGTCCAGCAATTCACGTCGAAATAGACTCACGATCGGCGCAAGCTGCTCTTGCAGTTGAGGCGGTATGGATTGCTGCGACGGGGATGGTTGGATGGAGTCGCCGTGCTGGACGCGCATCGGCCCTGCCCGCCACGCCTCGTGGCTGGAATAGACCCTGATGACGAGCTGGTCGGACATGACCATGACATCCCACCCATTCAGCTTCGCTCTCGATCCGTCCGGCGAGATGGCGAGCACAAACGACCGGTCGAAGCTCCGCTCGCCTCCAATCGGTTCTGCGAGCTCCATCAGCCAAAGCGCCAAACATTAAAAGCCGAACAGGCTCACCCTCCGTAAACTGCCCATGCACAGTCACCAACAGCAAACTCTCGCCCACCGGCCACGCATCCACGCAGAACTTCTCCGGCGCCCCACCCACATCGTGCTTGGTCGCTGGCAGCGCCACCATCGCGCGCACCGCCGCCTCGGCGCCTACGTGCAGGCTGCGCACCATCTTGTCAAGGCCGCCCGCCATGCGGCTCAGGTTCCGCGAGCCGCCGTCCCCGCCGGTGATCCACGGCGTCCACTCGAGCTTCTTCTGGTGCGGCATCTCTTTCGAGTGCTGGAAGCCCTGCAGGCGCGCGCGCGTCGGGATGGACGTGTTCACGGAGAAGGAGAAGGTCGCAGAGGGGTGATAGGCGTCCATTAGCGACGCGCGTTGGGTGTCCCACACAGAGAAGAAGCTTTGGGCTGGTCAGAATCCATCGAATGTAAGTTGTTGAAGAGACTAACCGTGCAAGGAAACCGCTGACAAGGGCAGGATCTACACCCGTGATGAAAGATGTTCCCATATCACAAGGGAAAGTCGTCGCCGTCGGCCTTGCGGCGTGCGTCGACGATGACGCTTGTGGCGCATCGAACGCAATGACCGTCATCGGCTCCCGATCCAGTACTGTCAACGAGGGGAAGCGGCGTCCAATTTCACTGCACACAGGAAGTCAGCGCTGCGCAATACGGAACCCATAAGTTGTTCACCCTTTGTACTTGTCTCCGCGTCCGTTCTTATACTCCAACTCTCGTACGGGGTTTCCGGTCAGGATCAACTCTTGCAGATGCTCGAGTCTGCCTTTGCGCGTAGAGATGAAGTCGAGATCTCGCCATGTTTGTAGGTTGTTGTTCTCTAGTGATAGGTTGGCGAGTTTCGGGAGATAATGGGAAAGTGAGGAGAGGAGTTGTCCAGATGAAATGTTGTTGTTGGCGAGCGATATTGTCTTTACCTGTCAAATAATAAGGAAAAGTCCTTCCAGGCGGTTGCCTAGTACTTACTTCAGGCTTGAGCTGGGATGCGAGCTTGAAGATGACTGATGATTCTCGTAATGACGATCCCGGTGCTCCTGGTGGTAGAAGATGGTGCTTGCGGATCAAGTCGTCGTCCAGCATTCGCTGCATAGCACTTTAGACATCGATCATTGGAAGCAATAAAAGGCCATACCTCAAGATTGAGAAACTGCGCATCTGCATTATATCGGCTCTTCACGAAGTCCCTCCAAACGTCGAGCGCCTTCTTCGCGACGGTCGGCGTGCGGGGTTCGAGCGTCGGTTTCGGGGAGCCTGTAACAGAAGAGACTGCATTTCTGCGCATACGACCGACCGCGGTCGGCCGCGCTGCTCCGCGGATGACCAGCGGCTCGCCAGTGGCACCTGTCACGCGAGCAGAGAGCTTGAGGGAGGTCGACACAGATCAATGAACAACGTAAGCTCATGTGTTTTCTTTTCACGGATAATGGAGGGGAGGGGGGAAGCGAGCGCAGGACCACGGGCGGCAGGTGCAGGGGGGGCGTGCAGACCAGACCAGCAGTCCTGCACTAGCAACACGCACGTTACGAGAGAGGAAAACAAGTCGTGTATTTACCATTGATGAGCGGCTGGGGCCGGGCGTGTGGTCTTTGTACGCGTCGATCGGGCGAGGTCGGTGCGCGCGGTGCTTGGAAGAGCCTTTGCGACCGCCGGGTTTGTCGGAGACGTCGCGCATGCGCTCATCGCGGTCGATGAGGCCGGCGCCGCGGAGTGCGTTGGCCATGACGGCGCGTGCGCCCGGGGCAGGGGTTGAAGTCATGTTTGCTGACGGAGAAGATACGTCCGTTGACGATGGCGGTGAGGACTACGCAAGGGTCGGGACAGCAAGAACGTTGTGAATAATGGCGAGAAGAGGTCAACGGCGACGAGCGTGACGACGGCGACAACGATAAAGACAAGAGCAGCAGGTTAGGGCCGACAACCACGACGTCGGTGTGTGTGGCGGTGGCAGAAGATGAGTCTTCGGGAGCGCGCACATTGTCTGCTCTTGTTTGTTTCGCGCTACCGGCATATGCCGACTGCATTACCATTTTTGTCCAATGTGGCTGCCGCTGCACACGAATTGAAGACTTCCCGTGGATAATCAAGAGTCTTGCGCATTGCGAGACGTGACTGCTTTTTGACCCTGTTTCTGTGCACAGAGAGGTTTACGGGAAGCTCATGGTTGCTCGCGGCACTCACCCTTCAGGCTTCAGCACGAGCTTGAGACCTGCACACCTTTTTTCGACTGTGTAGAACTTGCGAGAGAATGCTGGTATACTTCATACTCTCGCATCTCAGTTTAATACATGTACCGCACTATAGATGCCAAGAGTCTTCTCATGCTGTCCAATCGATATGCATGATCATCCGGTCTTTGGGTTCCAATGTAAAGTGTTTTGACGCTTTACTGAACCTACCGTATCGTAAGTGCAGCTTGCCTCGAACTTATCTCAAACCCTTATATCTCCAAGTAGATAGAATTATGATACACACAAGAAGTTGATGTCTAACCTAATAACAATATCAATAGACAACCACGAATCTATCAGTGTGATCACTCCAGTATATCTACCTTGACGTGCCGCACGGACGCATCATTCACACTTCCTCTATCTTCGAAGACAATGCAGCGATTTCCGCCCGGTACATTTACACAGGTATACCCCCAACCAGATTACTCAAACTGTGCACTATGGGCTCGCTGATCGAACTAACATAGAACAGGGGTATAGGCCATACTACAAAAGAATCACCAGGTCCACCGCTGCATTTTCTGATTTCACCTGCGTAGATGCCGGCACTTGCCGACAGACCATAGCAAGCCAGTGACAGGTAACGGAGCGCTTGTCACACCGTCACATGTTGTAGGCGATCGCTTTGCGATTATAGCTCTTCGTTGAACGCGAAATACTGTAACGGCTCGCTGGCCCAGGCTAAGACTTCTCCTGATCGTTTTGAACGTAGCAGAAAATAATTGCCTTCGGTCGTCAAACTCTGAGCGTGCCAGCGTCGACGCGTCTCGTCGGAACGACCAACCGAACGACGCAACGGAACGTCGGAAACGCAATTCTCACGAAATAAACGTTCGTCTTGACCGTCACGTCGGTGACTGCTGTTGTTGGTATACTGCCGTCTTGGGGGAAACACCAGCAGAAAGCCTATTATTTCTTCGGCGTCGGCGATTCCCTTATTATCGAGCAGGGGCTGACATGGACAACCCGCAATATTATCAACCGCTTTCTCATGCCCTCAACCCGCCCTACTCGTCGAGCAACAGTCGCTCAGCGCAGTATCAATCATACAACTCCCACGCTAACACAACATCTGCCAACGCTGCGAATGGGGCGGCGAACAACGCCGACGACGACGAGGAAGAAGAGGAGGAGGACGTAGTCGAGGAGGAGCTTGCGGGGAACACCCGTCGCGCGGACGGCAACAATGCCGCCTCGCCAGAGCAGAACAGACAAACAGGGTACGTGCGTTTATCCGTGAGCGTGGAGTACGCTGATCGACGGTTCGCAGAGGTCAGTCGGACGCTGCCCCCGCCCAGCAACAACAGCAGCCAGCCCCTGAACCGCCGAAACCCGCTCCTGATCCCAGCACGTATGCGAAGCGTCGCCCTGGCAGGCCGAAGGGGTCCAAGACGAAGAGGGCAACGCAACCGACCGAGACTGTGGCACCGACGTACGCTGGTTACTATCCCTACGCTGCCCACGCACCGCTGCACCCAACCGGGACTGGGACGGCGCCCCCCCTGCATCCGAGTGTAAATGAAGGCAACCAGCAATACTACGAATTCCAATGGCGCGTCCTCAATCTGTGCTCCGAATTCTACGGAGCCGCGGAAGAGCTAGTGGTGAGTGAGCAAACATCTACTTGCTCCACCCTTCCTGAGGACTCGTGCAGAAAGCCACTCCACCGCTCGTCCTCGCGCAGTGCTATACACACTCACCAACGAGTCCTGTCGACCCGATCTCTATGCTCAACGAAGCCAAAAAGCATTGTGACATCCTCGTGAGTGCCAACTAATCTTCCACCATGCTCAACCCTAACCCCGTGACCAGCTCGCCAACCCTAGCTGGCTCATCCACAACCCACCTCCGCCCATAATGCCCGTCATGCCCATCTTCCACACCTTCCCCCAGCCCCCCCTCTCTGCTCAAGCGACAAGCACGCCTACGACCGCAACCAGCCAAGCTCCCCCCTCCGCGAGTGTCGCAACCACCAGCACCACGACCTCGACGCCGGCCACGACCATCTCGAACCCCCAGTCCTTCGTCATGTCCCTCAGCGGTGCTGCGGCAGCCCAAAGTGCTGGCTACCCGACGCGTCCTTACTATCAGTACAGCGGGGCGTACCAGCCGCAGGCGACGTACTATACCACTACTGCTGCGTCTGGTGTCGGCTCGTCCACTACTGCGAACCCCTCTCTGAGTGCGGGCGCTGGTGGTGGCCCCGCGACGGGCGGGAATTCTGGGACGTGGTCCGATGAGGAGACGGAGCGGCTGAAGAAATTGGCTGAGCAGAGTAAGAGTACGGGATCGAGCGGGGAGATCGAGTGGGACTGGGTGATTAATCAGTGGGGCAATAGCAGGACCAGGTCAGCGCGTTTCTTTTCGCAGGAAGGGGCGCGCATCTGACGCAGTTTGCAGACACCAAATCTTAATAAAAGCCACCAACCTCGGGCTGAAAGAGAGCTCCGGCAGAGGCGTCAAACGGCGACGCGAAACCGAGTCGGGCGCTGGGGGTACCGCTAGCCCAGCGCCAGCTAACAACAACGCGTCGGTCCATCACGACACGTCCAGCACGTCCGCGGCGCCACCCTCCAGCACCACCTCGACTTTCCAAGTCACTACCCATCCCGCCCAGTCCGTGTCGCCCGTGCACAGCCACACCGCCTCGACCCCCGCGTCGGCTCAACCTTCGCCTGCGCTGCACCACCCGCAGCCCCACCATCAGACTCATACCCCGGTCCAATCCCATGCGCAGCCGCACAACACCCAGTCGCAGCAGACTTCCTCTTCCGCATCGCATATGCCCTGGCCGATGCCCACTGTCGCGTCGACGACCTCGCCTGTCATCGCAACCTCTGAGCCGCCGAGGGGGAACTACTACCGCAACCGCGGCAATCCGAGCCAGTCCCCGTCGATCTCGACTTCGAAGCCGCCCTCGGGTGCCGGGGTGACGCACCAGTACATGTACCAGCCCAGCGGCGGGCAAAGGAAATGAAGGCCGACTTTGCAATGAAGAAAGTATAAATACGGCACCCGGCAGGGCAGGAGCTGCTTTCCGTTGATTATAGCTTGTTTTTGTTTTTTTTTCTTGGAGAGCCAACTTGTTACGATCCATCGTGGTGGAATACGGTATATATATTCACGGTGGTGCCGTTCATTGGACTGGCCGCTATAACGAAGTATTGAAGTATTGTCACTGTCTTACTATGTAATTCCTTAGTATCGGCTTATCCTTATTTGATCCTTGGCTTGCGCTCGGTTTCCTGTGCGTGAGGAACGGACTGTAAGGTACATGTTGACTGCTTTCAAGCGCGCAAAGGAATCGGGGTTGCGCATGACCAAGCTTGCTTCCAGCCACCGAACGCAGACAAATATCTGCAAATAAGCGGAGCTGTGTACTGTTTGCGTACTGTCTCACACGAGGCTGAGGAGGACACCGAGACGCTGCTGCTGCAGTTAGGCTGCCACCAAGCTGCCACTGCGACACACGGACCGGTGACGAATGCAAGCTTGGCTGATTATCTCTTTCCGTCGCGATGCTTAATGACACCACGAAATCGTAGTATACTTGGACCAATACCGAAACCGCCTGACCAAAAACTGAAGCCGAAACACAGCGCTGTTTACCATCACAGACAGAGAAGAATCTAGAAACAACATGGAGGGTATCCACAACCAGATGACGAGTACGGGTAGCTCTGACGAATCTTGCACTGGCGGTATGAGCCCTTCGATCGCCTTCAAGGCTGTTGCTGTTTGAACATGTTCAGGTACAGACACCAGCCAATGCTCAGTGTGGCATCTTCTCCATAGTAACTCTCCGCCTTCTGAACTCGAGCGCGAGGCCGTTCGCGCGTCCCTTGAGAAACAGAATGAGCGTCTAAAGGAAATGGAAACCAGTATTCTCATTCCGGAGAAAGGCCTGCAGGAAAAATGCACTGCCCGAGATCTCTTACGGGAGAAAATTCATCGTCAACGATCTGTGCTATCGCCTTTGCGAGTCATTCCCGCAGAATTACTTTCGGAGATATTCGTCCACTGCCTGCCGGAAGACGTCTTCATACCTTGTAGAGCGTCGAGTGCACCATTGGTCCTCACGCAGGTATGCCAGTTTTGGACGGAAGTTGCACTCTCCTCGCCTCGATTATGGTGCTCTGTAATGGTCAAAGCCCAGCGACAGTCGGATATCGACAAGCAAGTGGACGTGGCACGGCAATGGTTTCAAGCGCTCCGGTTTGCTTCCGCTTTCGATTGGCGTTGATCTCCCCAGTGATATCAGCTTCCGTACTGGGCTTGGCCTGCTCCTGTGCGAGCACTCGAGCCAATACCAGGCTCTCAAGTTGCATTGTTATCTGAAAGTGCTTGGTTGCATGGCCCGCTCTCCTTCCCTCATCTCAATAGCCTGGAGTTCAGTTCTCGTGACACTCCCATAGGCAGCTCTCCAAATCTATTGTGTCATTTCAGAGATCTGTCGCTGTTACGGGATTTCTCCACCAACTGGGTGTTATCCGAACATCTGGTCGAATCATGCATTCCACTGGGCAGTTTAACCCTACTGGTGTTATCCGACATCTGGTCTGTCACTTCGTGTCTCGACGTTCTTGTGGAGTGTCCGTCTTTGGAGATTTGCTGCTTGACGTTTGCAAAGCTTGACGACCCTGAGGATGTGGACAATTTCGTGACCCTCGAAAACTTGACGCACCTCAAGGTTACGAGCCTCGAATATCAATCCCTAAATGATATCGCGGTCCATCTGGCTGTCCCTGAACTGCTCCACCTCGCGCTTCATCCATCTGTTAGTGGATCCCTGGGAACACATGGTTCCTGGTGCGATATGATCGCTGAGTCCGAGTGTAATCTCGAGCGCCTCGAGGTGGTAGGGCCCTGCTTTGAATCATGGATGGGGTACGCTGCGCTGTTGTGTCAGGTACCAAGCCTCACAAAGCTGGCTATCAGGGGATGTGGTGGGGATCCGTTCAATGAATTCGCCCATGAGTTCCTCTCTGAAATAAGTGAGAAGGAGCAGGACGGCATCCATCAATACGTCCTTCCGAAGTTGCAAGAGCTGGTGCTGGATGTTGCTTCAATGCAGCTTCCCGACGAGGGGTGTCTGTGGGACTTCCTCCAACCCAGAATTGGACTTAGATCTCCGCACGATGACGGGGAGGACCCAGAAGTTGCGCACCTTCGCAATGTAGATATTAGGCTGCGATCTCCACATGGCAGCAAAACTATCAGGTACTATATGGCAGATGACGGTAGGGAGGTCTTGCAAGAAGAGTCCATGTAGTGTCCGGCTTTCCAGTCCCTTGCTCAAACATTATTGATTCTGTCCTTTTGTGATGCCCATCCTTCAGCCTGTCTCTTCCCTGATTGCCCTTGCTGACGAGCAAATAGTTAAGTATGTACTTCACAGTCTTATAAAATGACTTGACAGGGTGACAATCATGGAGCGCTATCGACGACGAGCTGCAGGATACCCATGAACTCATCGATGAACGCGAGCAGTGACGCACGATCAGCTAGCCCCTCCTTGGCCGCACCCAGCTGTTCATCCAAAGTTCCGTAATACCCTTCTGTGAAGCTGAAATCAATATACAATGTTCCACTCCAGGTATAAATGTGGCAGGTGAGCACTGGGTGGCGAACAGCCAACTTCGGCTGGGAAACCACTAGGAAATCCCTCTCGTTGACTGCGACCCGCTGGGACAGGTGCTGGTCGACCACCCCGAGAGATCCTACCGCTGGTTTGGCGGATACCTTGGGGCCACTAGTACAAACCGGTGAGATAGCTTGCACTATATAATGGCTCACACTTACCCTTCCACTCCCAGTGCGGCCAGCGCAGCCTCCAGAAACTCATGGACCCAGAATGCCGCCCTATCCATCACTTCCCTGTTCTCCTCGACTTGCGCCTGTGTCTCCTTCGCGAGGACCCATAGGTCCTGGAGAAGCTGCTCTGGTCCGAGACAGATATCCCCGGGATGCACGAATCGTTGCAAGTCGCGTACGATGTACGCGGCGAAGCCGATGCTGTTGGCAGCGCGCCAATGGGCTTTGTTGCGAGGGTCGGTGTCCGCGCGCAGATGCCGGGCGCGGAGGTCGACGGGGTTCATGTATCCGGTGTTAATCGAGGGCATACGTCGGACGTAGTTGATGCGGAGGAGACTTAGCAGGGACGCTGACTCGAATATGCTGGACAGCGTACATCCGTGGTTACGGGCGACGCTGCGGAGCGCTTGCACAGAGTCCGCGAGCATGGTGCGTGTGATGAAGCCAGTACCGAGGATGAGTGAGTCCGCCGGATGGGCAAAACGCACGCCGGGCATATTCTGAGTAAGGTGAGCGCGTCAGCATGATATGCTCGGAATGGCGGTTGCACTCTACCAACCTCTCCGACTTTGACTGTTTCAGCGAGCTTGTCGAGCATGAACCTGTCTTCTCGTGACTTCATCGAGTCTAAGGACCAGGGGACCTTGGCGATGTCCGGGAAAGGCTCTGCCAGCCGCACCACTTCGTCTCCCCAGTTCAACTTCTTGTGGCCGCCTGAGCGTAGTATCTGCGCGATCCGTTCGATTAATGAGTCTAATATCTGGAACGACCCTGTTGCGTCAAACACGGCATGTCCAAGGCGAAGGACTATGCCGCATGCGGGACCTCCGCTGGAGGATGGGACGAAATGCGCTTCAAAGAAAGTGGTGGGCGGCCCGGTCCCGGCCTTACCCAGATCGTGCCTTACGAGTGCTATCGCAGCGTCGACGTCTCCGTTGGCTTCACCGAGGGCGTCGCTGCGATCGGTGATAACATCGGAAAGCCAGACATCGACGTCGCCCTCGGATCCGGGGACTTCGTATGCTAGTCTCTTTTCGGCCGAATTCGAGGCACCTCCAGGTTTGGGACAAGCCCATTTCGCGGCAATGGCGGGATGGTCGTACCGTAGGAGACGAACAGCTTGTTTCACGGTACCGTTGTCTATCTTGTAGTTTGTGCTAGTTAGCTGGCAGGATATGATGACGTCGCCATATCCCGGCGAGGCGAAGTTGAAGGAGGCGTAGGCGGACTCGGTTGCCCAGGGAAGGCGATGCCATACTCGGTCGTTTTGGACGGAGGATTGGCAGAAGATCTCATGCGTGGAGGGAAGCGGTGGGGGTGTCCAGGACCAAGGGGACTTCTTGCTTTCTGGCATGGTACAGAGGATACTATGTACAGGACGCAACTCTCTATTATCTTGTCAGTACTAATACCAGTATGTCCCTTGGACTTGCCTTAGATCTACACGTACTCGCGGTTATACAGAGCTTGCCAGTGTGTACCCTCACCTTACAGTTCTTCAAGGTCTATGGCGCAGATGAACAGCTCTTGTATACGATAGTAATCTCGGTGCCGCACGTAGGAAGACGAAAATACTTGTGACTCAAGTCGAGTCTTTCCGAACTTCACCTGCTCTGAGTCTGACAACTTAAAAGTGCTGTGGCGAGCCACAGAACCGGTGTAGCTCCCGCGAAAAGGTCGCAACTTACGAGAGGTCCGGATGATTGGGAACAGCTTAGATTCATTCAATAACCCGAGTTCATAAAGCGAGGTTGAATGATGTCCTCAAGCCGGAAAAAAAGGGGGAGGAATTTCTTGCAAAATCAACGCCGTCTTCGAGTGGGAAAGCATGTAGCGATCAGCTTTGGATCCATGCCGTTTTGTCCGAATCGCTTGGTGGCCTATGTAAGTATACAGGCTGGAAACGCGCCTCGGCGGTTTTAGCGGATGGCCGATGGGATCTTCTTCATGTCGCTACTTCCCGAAGACGCTTACCCCAGGACCGGCAAGCCCGCATCCGTTTGTGGTCGACTTGCAACCGGACCACCACCAGACAAGGAGAGCCATCGTTACAACATGTCAGCACCTAAGGAGTTGAAGTCCTTCAGCCGAGAAGACGTCGCTGTGGTATGTTCAAGGGTTTCTCAAGAGTATTTTTTGGCTTCACCTTACCTTGGCTATTGGCAAAGCATAACAGAGACGGAGATCTGGTGGGTTGCACGTGAAATGGCATGCTGCGGATGTGTACTGAGGTGTGCTAAATCCAAAGTGGATTATAATTGACTCGAAAGTCTACGACATAAGCCGATTCAAGAATCTGCACCCAGGGGGCGCCTCAGTTTTCGATGAAGAAGTCGGTATGTATAGATCGTTAGTACTAGATGAAATTCTGCGATTATATGACACCACCTAGCTGGACAAGATGCCACGGAGGCATTCTACGGCCTCCACCGGCACGAAGTGCTGACGAGACCCCAGTATGCCCGACTACAGATTGGCACAATAAAGGGCGAACAACCGGTCATCTATGATCGTATTCCCGGGGAAGTTAGCAAGGTACCCTACGCTGAACCAACATGGCTTAGTGCGGGCTATCACAGTCCTTACTTCAAAGAGGTACATCTGCAGAGACGCTAGCTTTTGCTCTAGAACCCGCGTAACCTGACTCCTGGGACGTAAGAGCCATAGACGCCTTCAACAGGCTGTACGGAAGTTTGTCGACGACTTCGTTTGGCCTGATGCACAGGTTTGCATCTACCATATATCAAGTGTACAAACTCTACTGAACGAGCCATGTATCACTAGGCAAGAGAAGCCGACGGGAAGCGGCCCAGCCAGTCAGTAATCGATAAAATGGCGTACGTCCTCGCCCTCTCATTCGAGGTAGCAACATTTCACATCCTCACGTACTTGTCGACCATAGTGAGTTAAATCTCCATGCAATGCGGATGGGACCCGGAAAACACCTGAAAGGTCTCAAGTTGATGGGTGGCATCGTTACCCCGGAGGAGGTACGTAGTCGAGCGTGCTCAATTTCTATCCTCCATAGATTGACTAATTCCGCCCGTAGTTCGACTACTTCCACGAGGTGAGGACATCACATCATACAGACAGGAGGACGTCTCGCCTGAAGTCCGTTCTTTGCAGCTGATTATCACTCAAGAAATTGTTCGCTGCGGCGCCCGCGGGTACGGTGACGGTACGTCTCACCAATTAACTCCCTTCGCCAATCTTCATCAATCTTTCGCCCCAGGCTTGAACGCCGGAGCCGTCATCGGCCTCCCCCCAGTCCTGAACTTCGGCTCGCCGGAAGTACAGGCGAAAGTTCTTCCGGACGTCTTCTCCGGGCAGAAGTTCATCTGCCTCGCGATCTCTGAGGCCCACGCTGGGAGCGACGTCACGGGGCTGCAAACGACTGCTGTGAAGACTGAGGACGGGAAGTATTGGATCGTGAATGGGACGAAGAAGTGAGTGCTTTTTTCTGCGGTCTGTTGGGGGATGTATGTCTCACAGTGAAGGCGGGTAGGTGGATTACGAATGGGACGTGGGTACCTTTCCTATGACTGAATCGTGAAGAGCAGTCTTAATTCCAGTGAATAATTCAGATTCTCGCATTAGTGAGTGGGCCCAGTTAGGTACATATCGCCTTGTATACTGACTCACAAACAGTTTCACCACCGGCTGCAAGACCGAGGTAAGTTGTAGCGATATAATGTATCTTGCACCTGCCCTCAATACACACGGCTTAGGACGGCTTCACCGTAATTCTCATCGAGCGCGGCGAAGGCGTTGAGACGAAGCACGTGAAGACTAGCTACTCCCCTACAGCCGGAACAGCGTATGTTACGTTCGACAATGTGAAGGTTCCTGTGGAGAACACCCTTGGCGAGGAAGGGATGGGCATATTCGTTATGTTGAGGTACGCACGGGGGCTGCTTTTATTTGGTGCATATGTCACTGCGGAAGTGGAACTGACGTCTGTGTTGACACAAAGCAATTTTAACCACGAGCGATGGGTGATGTGCTGTTCGTCAGCTAGGAGTCAGCGGTTGATAGTCGAGGAGTGTCTCAAGTGAGTGACGGCACAGAGCTGGCTCCCATCCTCAACTAATCCCCGTCTAGATGGACACAACAGCGTAAAGCGTTTGGGAAGCCGCTCAACTCTCAGGCGGTTATTCGGAGTAAACTGGCCGCTATGATTGCACGTGCCGAGAGCGTGCAGAACTGGCTTGAGAACATCACGTACCAGATGTGCAATATGGTGAGCACACTTCCTCGTGCATCTTGCGCGGTAGCAGTAAGTCTCAATATTCGGCAGAGTTACAAACAGCAGGCATCCAAACTCGCTGGGTAAGTAAGCGATATGAGACACGAAATCAGCGTACTGACCATACCCTGCCGTACGTGATTAGGCAAATCGCCTTTTTGAAAACGTATAGCACAAGGTGCGCGCAGGAGACTGCTCGCGATGCCGTCCAGATTTTCGGGGGACGCGGTATCACACAGTCTGGCATGGGCCAGTTCATTGAGCACGTAAGCCCGTCAGTTGTCGGATACGAAGTTGCGGCTAACCGCGCTCCAGTATCATCGCACTGCGCCTTTCGACGCCTTACTCGGTGGGGGTGAGTACTGCATCATTGAGCGCGTTATCTCAAAGGCATCTGCTAATGTCTTGGCAGCGGAGGATGTTCTCGCCGATCTGGGCGTACGGCAGGCTACCAGAGGAATGCCAGCGAATTCAAGACTCTGATCTTAGATTGCCCGTCATTTATACCCGTAGTCATGACCACTATCTCGTATTTACCAAGTCTGAGTCTCTCCTTTGCTTACATTCTTTTTTTTTGTTCCAGGAGATATGACATTGTAGCTTGCTTCATATTCAATGATATGATAATGTCAGTGAAAATGAGTAAAATGAAAGCAAAGAGCCCCCAGTAAGAAAGCAGGCTTGTAATTGGCCGAAGCCGTCATTTCTTTCCTGCTCTGCGGCCTTGCACAGCCACCGATCGACCCGCTTCACTCCATTCTTCGCGACCTGTTCGCGACACCGGCTTCATTATGGCAGCAGCAGTCCCTGCATCGACTGCGGCACCTGCCTCGAAGGTTTGTCACTTTTGTCGATTCTCATGGACAATGCGTTGATTCTGATAGTTTTCTGGCAGGGCAAGACAAAAGCCAAGCAGCGGTACCTGAAGAAGAAGAAGGAACGCAGAAAGCATAGGAAATCCTCGGCACCGCATACACCTGGGCAGAAGTGGGGTCAAGATGCAGACGAGGGGGATGAAGAGCAGGAGGCAGAGTTGGAAGAAGAGCCTGGGGAACGGGTGGAAGTAGAGCAGGAAGAGGAAAGCAAGGAAGAGAGAAAGAGGAGAAAGAGGGAGAAGAGGGAGCAGAGGCGGAAGGCGAGAGCAGGTGAGGGGGAAGACGGTGACGGCGAAGTCGAAGAGGCGGAAGTCAAACGACCTAAGAAGCGACGAAAACTAGACGCAGAAGAGGCTGAGGCAGTCGCTGAACCTCCCGAAGAAACCCCTCCTGCCCGCCGTTCACCGACTCCTCCAGCGGCACTCCCCTCCTTCCCCCTTCCTGCACTACCCAACGCTCCATCAAAAAGAGACCTCGCGCTACAAGGCTTGGACGAGGCGCTCGTGGGCGCCGAGCTCGTTGATCCGTCGACGACGCTTCCGCTCGGTGAGGACGACGATGATCAAACGGGGCTCAGCGAGAGGACAAAAAAGAGGTTAGGGGAGCTTGGGATAACCGAGCTCTTTGCTGGTGCGTTCTTCCACCTGCACCAAGACGCGCTGCGTATATAATGTCCGTATACAGTGCAGACCGCCCTTCTACCGTTCCTGCTACCGCAGGATCCGGCCAAGCGGGCACTGTATATGCCGTACGACCCGCCGCGAGACGTTTGCGTCTCCGCGCCTACGGGGAGCGGGAAGACCTTGGCGTATGTCCTGCCTATCGTGGAGGTACGCTTTCTGACAAATGTAACTATGACGAAATAGTACTGATTTTCTGCGCAGATTTTGTCCACACGGATAGTGACGAGGCTCAGAGCTCTCGTTGTGTTACCGACGCGAGACCTGGTAACGCAGGTGCGCGAGACATTCGAGGCGGTGGGTAAAGGCCGAGGATTGAAGGTGAGTGACATGTTTACACTACGGGGAGCCTATCGAAGATGATTTATGTACCGCTGCATATCTGTAGATAGGCACTGCGACAGGGCATCACTCTTTTGCGCATGAGCAGTCCCAGCTCGTTGCGGACAAGTCGCTAGAGTACGCTTGCGATCATTATTATCGGAGACTCGGAAAACATAACCTATGTTCTCTGAAGGCTACAAGGCGGTTCTAGCAAGGTTGACATACTGATCTGCACCCCTGGGCGGCTCATAGATCACTTGCATGGGACGCCTAATTTCTCATTGCAGCATCTCCGTTTCCTGGTGAGGACCCTTGTACAGCTCACTATAATATTTGACCTGACAGTCCGTCATACATCAAGGTAGTCGACGAAGCCGACCGACTCCTCGCCCAGTCTTTCCAAGACTGGCTCGCCGAAGTCCTCGCCGCAGTCCGTCCCCCACCCAACCCCCTCCCACTTCCCGTCATATCGTCCGCGCTCCTTCCCTACCCCGACGCGCTCGCCCCGTCCTTCCTCCATCCGCACATCCCAACCGACTTGGACGAGACAAAAGAGCCCTCGTGCCAGAAGCTTCTGTTCTCGGCGACGCTGACAAGCGATCCCGGGAAGCTCAAGGCGCTGGGGCTCAGAGAGGCGAAGTATTTCGTCGTGCGAAGCGCGGATGGGGAGCAGGAGGGCGTTGCGGAGGGTGTCGCGATGGAGAAGTTCACGATGCCCGCGACGCTGAGGGTGCGCACTACCTCCTACTCCCTTTGACTTTTGAGATCTGACGAACAACTGATGGTACTAGGAACACATGATCGTGTGCGAGTCCGCGCTGAAGCCACTGATGCTCCTGTACCTGATCCATCACCACGGCGTGAAAAACGCGCTGGTGTTTACCAAGAGCGCCGAGAGCACCGCGCGGCTGGTGCGGCTCGTCGAGTTCTTCGAGGACGCGTGGGCTAAGGGCCAGGGTGACCGGCGCGCGCGCAAGATCGTTGCCAGAGCATATAGCAGCGACCTCCCGCCCGGCGAGCGGAGAGGGATACTGGAGCAGTTCAGGAAGGGTGAGGTGGATATGTATGTCCTGTTTACCCCGTTAAGTGGTGAGATTATACTCAGAGGGCTACGTAGGCTCGTCGCGTCGGATTTGATCTCGAGAGGGATCGATATTAGCTCGGTGAGCCATGTGGTGAGCTACGACGTCCCGGTGGATATGCGGAAGTATGTGCATCGGGTGGGGAGGACGGCGAGGGCGGGAAGGGAGGGGGATGCGTGGACTCTGGTTGAGGAGCAGGAGGTGAGTCGTTTTTTCTCCCGTGTGGTTTGGTTGTTTCTGTCATGGACGGCGTTTGTCCTTCGCATCGTGCCTCCGACGACGCTTTCGGGCGAAACGTCCGTGGCCCAGAATCACTCTGCTGCAATATCTACCGATATCTGAGCGTACCCAATATCTCTCTATCTGAGGGTCCAATATTTGAAGACTCACGGACATCTCAATGATAGGCCCGGTATTTCAAATCGATACTGAAAGCTGCAAACCACCTCGAACGAGTCAAGAGGATGAGGGTTTCGGAGAAAGATACGCAGGACCTTTCTCCGTTCTATGATGTATGGTTCCGCTCTCTTCTCTAAACTCCCCGCTCTGACCGTCGTTTCCTTAGACTGCGCTTGCGCGCCTGCGCGAGGTATTTTCTCGGGCATCATAGCCAATCAGCCGCCGGTACGATGCGTCGGAGTCGGATCGAAATGCATGCGATTGGGTTGGTCGATGCCGCCGGCTATCCGCGCCCTCAGATACCGATCTCACTTCCCCACCTCTTGGTTCCGTGCAACGATGGGTGATCGGGTGGGAGTGCGTTGCTGTAACATCCTCCTGCCACAGGGTACGACAACTGTATTCAAGTAGTAGCACAGGAGGTCATTAATCGTTACACCGCCTGTTCTTGCGAGACTGTCGTACATTACGTGCCTAATAAATAACTGGCTCAGCACCCGCAGTCCGCTGACTCGCACGTCGGCCAGTAATCTCTGAAGCGGCACAGGCACTCGATATATCGCGCAGCCATGCGGTCAATCCGCAGGAGTATCGGGATTATCTGACTCAGCCAGAGTTACCGATATGGGTACTCTAAATAAACGTCATGCCCGTTTCCAGAGGGGTTTCTTACCCTCTTCCCAAGGGAGGACAGTATATCACCTTCGGACTTCGGCATGGCTCGCTCTGGCTCTCCTGCGTCGAACGACGACGAGCGGACGGTGAAGGACGAAAAGGCGGCAACTTCAATGGATGTGGAGAAGGGGCAGGTGAAGCAGGAGGAAGATTTGCCGTTGCTGAGTTACGATAATCCTCCAAAGTAAGTGATCATCGACCACGAGATGGACGTACACGTCGGTAACGCCGAACAGATGGTGGACGGGAAAGACAGAGCTGACGGCTTTTCTGTGTTCTGTGCGAAGCGGGGCACTACAAATAAATGCTGTATAATACTAGTTAAACATGACATATGTTGCAGCCATTATTTGTGGTGCCATGTTCTAGCGCCTTGCAATGGATCTACGTTGTACTGGCTTGATCTGACCACAACATGTAACTTCTAGATGGCTCCGAGTGCCCTTCGTGCCAGTGGCGGCAGCGCCAGCAACGAACACGCTGGAAACGGCCCCGCTGATCCCTGAAGCAACCGCCGGGTGGTTCAGCTGGTTGACCTTCGGATGGATAACCCATCTCCTTGCTGTGGGATACGCTCGGCCGCTGGAAGCACCTGACTTGTACAAGCTTCAGGATGACCGGTCCGCTGCCCTCATTGCCGATAAGATTCTCAAGTCTTTCGACAGGCGGAGAGAAGAAGCGGAGAGGTATAATGTCCGCCTGGCGTCGGGAGAGCTCAAGCCTGGTTTGGCCAGGACAGTCTGGTGGACGCTGAGAGGAAACAGGAAGGAGAAGGAGCGAAGATGGCGAGAAAAGGATGGGCGGAAGAAGGCCAGTCTCGTTTGGGCCATGAACGACAGCGTAAAGTGGTGGTTTTGGTCTGGCGGCATCCTGAAGGTTATCTCCGATACCGCGCAGATTACCAGCCCGCTGATCGTCAAGGTACGTGGCGGACAGCAGCTCTGCGCCACCAACTAACAAATAGTGTTCGCAGGCCATCATCAACTTCGGCGCAGAATCATATGCAGCGCACCGCTCAGGCGAACGAGCGCCCGGAATCGGGCAGGGCATAGGCCTCGCGATCGGCCTGCTGCTCCTCCAGCTCCTCGCGTCGCTCTGCACGCACCACTTCTTCTACCGCTCGACGTCGACGGGCGTGCTGCTCCGCGGCGGCCTCATCACCGCGATCTACTCGCGCTCGCTAAAGCTGACGAACCGCGCGCGCGGCACGCTCACGAACGGCAAGCTCGTCAACCACATCTCCACGGACGTTTCGCGCATCGACTTCTGCGCGGGCTTCTTCCACATGGGCTGGTCCGCGCCGATCCAGATGATTATTTGTTTAATCCTGCTGCTGAAGAACTTGGGGCCGAGCGCTCTCGCGGGCTACGGGTTCTTCGTGCTCGCGACGCCGCTGCAGACGTGGGTCATGAAGAAGCTGTTTACCATCCGGAAGCGGAGTATGGTCTGGACGGACAAACGCGCAAAGTTGCTGCAAGAGCTACTGGGCGGGATTAAGATCATTAAATACTTTGCATGGGAGACGCCCTTTTTGAAGCGTCTAGCTGACTACCGGACTAAGGAGATGGCGTAAGTGCCGCTAGTTATTGCGCTCCTATATGATATGATACGATGCTGACTGTAACGGAACCTTTGCACAGCTACGTGCGATCGTTGCTACTCATCCGTAGCGCGAATAACGCCATAGCGATGTCCCTCCCTGTCCTAGCTTCGGTTCTGTCTTTCGTCACCTATTCCCTATCTGGGCATCAACTCAATGCTGCTGACATCTTTGCTTCGCTGACGCTATTCCAATTACTCAGGATGCCACTCATGTTCTTACGTACGTCACTTTCGTTTGCTGAATTGGTGGAATGCTTATGATCGTTTCGCGGTTCTGCAGCGGTGGCGTTCAGCGCGATCACGGATGCTATGAATGCAACCGGACGTATCTACGACGTATTCGAAGCCGAGACACTCACTGATACTAAGGTGGTCGAGGACGACCTGCCCTACGCGATCGAAGTTGAGGATGCGTCCTTCACTTGGGACGCTCCGCCCGAAGCTGTCTCTGACGAAAAAGCGAAGAAGGGTAAGAAAGGCAAGAGTACCGCGCCAACAGCAGTGGTAGACAAGGGCGAAATCTTCCAGCTCAAAGGTATTAACATGACAGTGGAACGCGGCAAACTCGTCGCGATTGTCGGGCCCGTAGGTACTGGCAAGACGTCCCTTCTGGAGGGCCTCATCGGTGAGATGAGAAGGACCAGCGGGACCGTCAAGTTCGGCGGGACGGTTGGATACTGTCCGCAGAGCGCGTGGATCCAGAACGCGACTATCCGCGAGAACATCTGCTTTGGACGGCCATTTGACGAACAGCGTTATTGGAAGGCTGTACGCGACTCGTGTCTCGAACCCGACCTGGACATGCTGCCCTTCGGCGACATGACCGAGGTCGGCGAGAAGGGTATCTCACTTTCGGGCGGGCAAAAGCAACGGATCAATATTTGTCGGGCCATCTACTGCGATACTGACATCCAGATCTTCGACGACCCGTTGTCTGCATTAGATGCGCACGTTGGCAAAGCAGTGTTCCAAAACGTTTTGAAAAACGCTCCCCCTGGCAAGACCCGGTTGCTCGTCACTCATGCCCTGCACTTCCTTCCTCAAGTGGATTATATTTACACGATGCTCGATGGTCGCGTCGCCGAGTGGGGCACCTACGATGAGCTCATTGCAAATGATAGTGCCTTTGCCAAGTTCATCCGAGATTTTGGTACCAAAGAGGAGAACCAATTGAAAGAGGAAGAACCGGTCGAGGCTGAGGAAGAGGAAGACGAGGCCAAGGCGGCGGAGAAGAAGAAAAAGTCGGCTGCTGCGAAGACGATGATGCAGGCGGAGGAGAGGAACACTGGCAGTATCAGCTCTTCCGTTTACAAATCGTATATGAAGGCCGGACGAGGAGCAATCGTCCTTCCCGCCCTCTTTGCGTCTCTGGTGCTCATCCAGTGCGCGACGGTACTGTCATCATACTGGTGAGACTTTATCCAGTGTCCGTCCTTGAACCTACTGATGTCGTGATGCAGGCTTGTCTGGTGGCAGGATATGTAAGATTTCACTTGTTGGTTGTCTCAATTTATGTCAAGCTAATTGCGATGCAGGACATTCAACCGACCACAAGGGTTTTACGTAAGTCTCCGTTTTCTCCTGAAGCATCCGCATATGCCCATTGTTGCCGCTGCAGATGGGCATCTATGCCGCGCTGGGTGTATCCCAAGCCATATCTTTCTTCTTCATGGGCAGCATGTTTGCCTACCTCACATATTTCGCTTCGAGGCAACTGCATCGCGTAAGTTGCTGATATCATTTTCAATCACCTGAAGTCTTACTCACCGCACGTAGGCCGCGATCAATCGTGTCATGCATGCTCCCATGTCATTCTTTGAGACCACGGTACGTTTTCCTCGTAACGCGGCTTAATCCATCCAGTCTGACCCGTTTCTAGCCCCTGGGAAGAATCATGAACCGCTTTTCAAAGGATATCGATACCATTGATAATATGCTGGGAGGTACGTCATGTCCACTGATCATATCGTTAGGAATGACCCAATCTTTCTTCAGATGCGCTACGGATGTTCATGAACACGTTCTGCTCTATTATTGGCGCTATCATTTTGATATCCATCATCTTGCCCTGGTTCCTCATCGCTGTCTTCTCCATTCTACTGCTTTACTTCTACGCTGCTCTCTTCTACCGGTCGAGTGCTCGCGAACTTAAGGTACATCTCTTTGGTGTTAGTGTTACAAAAAGCTCACCTATGCTTCTTCTCCCTAGCGACTCGGTAAGCATAGTTGTGCTTCCAGATGGATAAAAGTCTCACTGTCATGCAGACGCCATCCTACGATCGTCGTTATACTCTCACTTTTCCGAGTCTCTGTCAGGGTTAGCCACGATTCGTGCTTATGGCGAGACGGAGAGATTCCGACTCGACAACGAAAAGCGTGTTGATATAGAGAACCGGTAAGTCCTCCTTATGCTCCTATCGTTCTCGACTTACAACCATGGTTTCAGGGCATATTGGTTGACAGTGACGAATCAGGTAAAAAATCATTGTTCCAAGGCTTACTACCGCTAGCTGATAACTGTTTGAAGAGATGGCTAGGAATCCGCTTAGATTTCCTGGGGATTCTCCTCACATTTGTCGTCGCACTGCTCACCGTCGGGACAAGATTCACCATATCACCCGCCCAAACTGGCGTCACCTTATCTTACATTATCTCCGTGCAACAGGTAATGCCTTCGCCCATGAGGCTTCGCGTATGTCTGCTAACACCCCCACGATAGGCATTCGGATGGATGGTGCGACAAAGCGCGGAGGTGGAGAACGATATGAACTCTGTGGAGCGTGTCGTGCACTATGCGGACGAGATAGAGCAGGAGGCGCCCCATGAGATTCCGGACCATGCACCCCCTCCCCACTGGCCGTTCGAGGGGCACGTGGAGATCAAGGACATGGTTCTCAAGTACAGGCCCGAACTGCCGCCGGTTTTGAGGGGAATCACAGCGGACATACGTGGGGGTGAGAAGATTGGTATCGTCGGCCGGTGAGTTGTGCGCTTGTTGGATGAGCGATGGGTCTTGATGAGATTGCTTTGCAGAACTGGTGCGGGGAAATCAAGTATAATGACCGCGCTGTACCGCCTGGTGGAATTGTCGTCAGGGTCCATCGTGATCGACGGCGTTGACATCTCCACCGTCGGCCTGCGTGATCTCCGTAGCAATCTCGCGATCATCCCTCAGGATCCTGTAAGCAGAACATACAAACCGCGGTATTTCTTCCTCCGCTAACCTTCTCGTCTTCTAGTTACTCTGTAAGCTACCGAGACTCTTAACCAGGCGACTGCTTCTCACCTTTATACAGTTTCGGGCACGTTCCGCAGCAATCTGGATCCGTTCGGACTGCACGACGATGCTCGGCTTTGGGACGCGCTGAAGCGCGCCTACTTGGTTGAGGACCGCAAGCAGACATCCTTTGATGGTCCGGACGGTCCGGAGGGTGCGCAGACGCCTGTGAACCGGTTCACGTTGGACAGTCCTATTGAGGATGAAGGGTGTAACCTATCGATCGGACAAGTAAGTCTCTTCTATTTGCATCGTGCTATCTTTCACGCAAGCATTGCCCCGGTAGCGGTCCTTGGTGTCGTTGGCTCGAGCACTGGTCAAAGACACGAAAATCCTTATTTTAGATGAAGCAACAGGTATGTACAGGATGTTCACGCTGTGTGATGTTCGTAACAAAAGCTCCTCTAGCGTCGGTTGACTACGAGACTGACCAGAAAATTCAATACACGATCGCCCACGAGTTCCGCGACCGCACGATCCTCTGCATCGCCCGTAAGCCCTCTCTCAGCCCCATCTTAGCATCCTCACTCACACATTACACCCAGATCGCCTGCGTACCATCATCGGGTACGATCGAATATGCGTACTGGACGCGGGGCAGATCGCGGAGTTCGACACGCCGGCGAACTTGTATCAGCGGGCGGACGGTATCTTCCGCTCGATGTGTGAGCGCTCGACGATCACGCTGGAGGATATCCAGCGCGCGGCGAAGGAGAGGGAGGCGGGGCCGGCATAGACTGTTTTGTATCACGCACTAACGAATAACATAGACACGTTTGTATTTTGCATGTTTTGTAGCGTCAGCTTGGTAGAGTAGCCAGGGGTAATGAAAGTAATGATGGGGTTACGACATACTTGGCTGGACTTAGCAATCAAATATTCAGCGACTGGTGAGGAGACATTGGTTTCTGTGATGCCTGCCGCCGGCACACTTCTCTGATAGGCGCCTATTTACCCCGCACCAAGATCGACCTGTACTTTACGGACACGCAGCCTAAAGAGATGGCGACCCCGTCGCTGCCTTTAAACGGATTGAAAGTCATCGAGGTACGTTTGCAGTCTCTCTACGCAGCCCTTTCTTACCGCATCACTCTAGTTCGCCGGCCTTGCGCCAGGCCCCTTCGCCGGGCTCGTCCTCGCAGACTGGGGCGCCGCCGTCACGCGCGTCGACCGACCCGGCCACGGGCCCTCCGCCGACATCCTCTGCCGCAGAAAGCGCTCGCTCGCGATAAACCCGAAGGTGCCCAGCGGGCTCGCCGCGCTGCGAAGACTCATAGCGGACTCGGACGTGCTCATCGACCCGTTCCGCCCGGGCGTGCTGGAGAAGCTCGGGCTGGGGCCGGACGTGTTCCTTGGCGAGGGAGGATTGAATGGGAGATTGGTGTATGCGAGGGTGGCAGGGTGAGGAATCATCATTAATCTATGTCAGGCGACTACGGAACGTTAATTCGGCTGTAGATTTCCGCGCAAAGGTGGTATTAATCCACCCATACCCCAGGGTAAACTGATACGGACGGCGTAGGCGCATACAGCAGCATGGCAGGTCCGTGTCTATCTCTCTGTTTATCTAAGTACGAAAGGAACGCTGAACCGTACGCAGGTCACGATATCAACTACATAGCCCTCAGCGGCGTGCTATCCGTACGTGCCCAGTACGATCCTCTACAACACACCTACCACCTTCTCTTATAGATGCTCCCCGGTAAAGGCCGCCCGAACTTCCCCCTCAACCTCCTCGCCGACTTCGCCGGCGGCGGGCTGCTCTGCGCGCTCGGCATCCTCCTCGCGCTCCTCGAGCGCGCCGCGAGCGGGCGTGGGCAGGTCGTCGCGCTCGACATGGTAAGCAACAAATCCGAGTGTCTATATAGCTAGTCTCAACGTGAAGCTGCCGCCCGCCCTCACCGGCATCGCAGGTCTCCGGCACGCGCTACGTCTCCTCCTTCGCCCTCGCTCCTGGCAGCCCCTACTTCCCCTCCCCGCGCGGAGAAAATCTCCTCGATGGCGGCGCGCCCTTCTACGCCGTCTATACCTGCGCAGACGGGCGCTGGGTTGCCGTCGGGTGCCTCGAGCCCCATTTCTACACCACCTTCCTCGAGAAGTTCGGAAGAGCGCTTGGGATGGGGGAGGAGGAGGGGTGGCACCCAAACCCGGAGGACCAGATGGTCAGGAGTGAGTGGCCCCGTCTGAGGGAGTACCTCGCGAAGGGATTTTTGACGAGGCCGAGGGATTATTGGGCAGGCCTGTTCCACGGTGAGTCGTAGTCTTGTTACTAGTAGTAGGGTCGTGGATACTGGAGATGCTGACATGACGCACGCAGGCTCGGACGCGTGCGTCACCCCCGTCCTCGCGCCCGCGGAGGTCTCCCTGCGTGCGCCGCTGCCACATCCGGACCTGAGCCGTACCCCCGCGCGAGCGGGGCGCGAAGGCGAAGGTGAGGCACAAGTGCTTGACCCGGGGAGGGATACAGAGGAGGTGCTGAGGGAGGCGGGGTTCAGTGCGGACGAGCAAGCGACGCTTGTGAGGGACGGCGCGCTGGGCGAGGTCAGGGCGCGGGCGAAGCTGTGAGGGGTAGGTGGCGCTGGTGATGAGCGTTCATTGGGGAGTAGTTTACTCTTATGCTACGCAGTATGGTGGAAAGGCGAGACACAACGAGAGGAGATCATCTATGTATAACCCGATATCCAAGCCCAATAAATATCTGATGGCCCAAGGAGAAGCTCCCTGGGATGGCCTACGTTCAAGCTCTACACCTTGCCGGTGCCATGCTCTCTACCGACATCAGCCACTGATTCAGCAATACTGACCATGCCCCCCTCAGCGATGCGCATGCTGGCGCTGAGCCCCTGCGCCCCGGTGAAGGTCGTTCACGCAACCGTCGGCGTCTTCGCCATCAGTGCGAGCATGTCCCACCCGATATTCGCAGCGACGATCTGCGTCAGCTCAGCTACATCCACAGTCAAATTAGCCACTCTCTTCTGTTTGCTATACAATAAAGGCAGACGCAAATACCTTGGGAATCGTACCCTACATTCACACAGCATCGTGAAGTCAGTGAGATGATAGATAGACGAGGAGGGGTTGCTTACCCGGGGCGACCTCGACGATATCCGCGCCGACGACTTTGAGCCCCGCCATACCCTGGAAGATCTTCTTGATTTCCTGTACGCGCAGATGGGTTAGTTGGGGTGACTCGGACGCCGGCAGGAAGGAGAGGGGATGGAGTTGCGTACCCGGGTGGTGAACCCGCCGATTTCGGGACTGGGACGCGTGGGAGTGTCAATGTTCTTTGCGTCGTGTGCGAGGGAGTAGGGTGTGCTTACGTTCCGGTCCTATTGGCAACGAAGTTAGCGATAGGGATTCTTGATGGATAAAGTGGGTGGGTACTCACGCAGGCGCAAAGCCCGGGTCTATCACGTCAATGTCCAAGCTAACTGCACCCTCTTCAGCACACGTCTCCCCCAAAAATAAACGCGGCTTAAACGTACTGTACACAGGATTATCCCCAACCACCTCCCTTATCTTCTTCACCACCCCCCGCCACCCAATCTCCTCGATATCCTCCGCGTGCGAGATCACGAAACCGACCTCCCAGTCGTTCTCGTAGTTGTCCCAGCTGTCCATTCCGCTGCGGATCCCGACGTGCTGCAAGGGGTGGCGGCAGTCAGTATGTAAGTGAAGGGAGAAAAGGGAAGGAAGGGAGCGGAGGGAGCAGAGGGAGGGCGCGCTCACGATGTTGGCGTTGTTAGGCGCGAGGAGGCCTTCCTTGTGCGCGTAGTAGAAGTAGCTGCCGTGCGTGACGGGGATTTCTTCGCCCGGGAGCCAAGGGCCATACTAGTTCGCACAGCGGGTCAGGTTGCATGCGTGGGGAGGATGGTTGGGGCAGGGGGGACGTACCACTCTGTTAGGCTTTCGCGTGTCTGGCGTCGTTTATCAGTAGGAGCAGACACAAACGCATCATAGGTTCTCCTGGACACCTACCGAGGTGACTGTCAAAATGGATAACACTACAGACCCGTCAGCCCACGCCCGGCAACGGGGCAGAAACAGCGCCCTACCTGACAGGCCCATAAATTTCCGCCACGCCCCTCAGCAGAGGCAGGGTAATGGTATGGTCTCCGCCGAGCGTGAGCACGCGCGGGTGGAACTTGCCGTCTTTCGCCAGGCTCGTCTGGTTATAACTCCGGAACGCCTCCCGGCGTAGGAGCGCCTTGTTCGCGGCCTCGAGCTGGCGCAGCGCGACCTTGTTGTCCATGAACGTCATGGCTACCGGATCCATATAAATTTATTCCCTGATAACGAACTACCTCGACTGGGACACTCACGCACGTCCCCGCAGTCAACCACGGCGAGGTGGTCGCTCACCCTCACTTTCTGGTGCACGTTGATCACGCCGACGTGCATCCGCCGCGCGCCTTGGCGGATGCCGTTCGGTCCGAACCGCGCGCTACACACCTATTATCAGCACTCGCTCCCCAGACGCGCATTATATCAATGGCATGCACACCCGGGCCTGTAGCTCGTGGCGGTATCGAACGGCGCGCCGAGCACCGCGACGTCGTAGGGCACGTCCGCGTCGGCGCCAAAGCACCTGATAGGTTGCGCCTGCGCGTACGACACGAGGCCATTCCATGAGTCCTTCGACCAGGGGTCGCGGAAGAGGAGGTCAGAGGAGAAGAGTCTGGTGAAATCGGTCTCTCCATCTTCGACAGGCTGGTACGAAGGTGACTCCACGCTGGGATAGGATAGCGGTGTCTGTTGGGCGGCAGCCCGCGAAACGAGGGCTGCGACGAGCAGGACGCTGGAGGGGTACATGGCGGTCAGCGAGGCAGGGTCGGGCAGCAGGTCCCGGAGACAGCTTCTGCTATTCGTTCTAGGTTTTGTAGCCCATGCCTATCGCTGCGGCTTGGGAGAGATAAGACGGCCACTCACGTGATCGCGTACTCGAGTCCGTTATCATAATCTAAGCCTCTGTGGCACTGCTGGCAATTATTGAGGTTATCGCAGCCTCATACATATCTTGCCCTGGCCAGATTCAGGGCGAGATAGACGTTACGAGCCTATCTGGACTCAAATATGAGTCAAGTCATAACCGTTATCGCACGTCGAAGTGCTTTATGTAGTCATCCGCCGTTAGAATGCCCTGCAAAGCGCAGAATGGGCGAGTATCCGATGGCTGAAGCGTAGTCGTTGCGTCCAGACCCCAAGTACGAAGTTCAGCAGCGAGCAGTCAGTCTAACGAGAAGTCCAGAGTCACGATCACGCACTGGATGTTTACATCGCATGCGATAAACGCAAGAACATTGCGCGAGAAGGCACATCGTTAACAGTACCAGCTACCCCGAAGGACAATCATGTAAAATCGCACGAGTCACTCGTCATCGTCATCCCAGTCCTCGTCGAACAGACACGGGCCCTCGATCACACCGGTACCTACCCTCTCCTCCACTCCCGGTTCCCGAGTAAGGCCATATAACGGCCAGTTGACACTATCGTCACTGAGGTGTGAGTGTTGCGTCCCAGTCAGCCGTTCTCGAGCATTCGCGTGAAGGCTCGGCACTTCCATCTGGGGCCGCGAAACATTCCTTGATGAGAGGTCAGCTAACGGCCTTTTCGCAGAATCGTCAGCGACTTGTGAGTGCCGCGTCCCAGTCGGATGTTCTCGAGCGGGAAGACTCGGCACCTCCACCTCGGGCGAAATGTCCCGCGAGGAGCGTCCATGAATCCTGCATGAGCGGCGAACATGCGCAGCTTGGTCCACCGTAACAAGAACGTGGTGAACGTCCTGCGCTTCCTGTCCCTGTACACCCGATCCTGGCGTTGACTGAGGCGAAGAGCCCGCCCCAAGACAGAGCCCTTCCGCAGTGTGGCCTTCGTGAACTGGAGTGTATTTCATTGCCGCATCCGCATAATGTTCTTCCGTCTGGACATCTCCACCACCCAAAGCATTCACAGACGCCAGTATCGCATCCTGCCCGCACCCAGAACCCAGCCCGTCGCCCAAGAACTTCAAGAAATGGTCGCCCCGACTGTAAGGTTCCTGAGACAGCACATCCTCATTGTCAATAGCTTCCTCCTCCACAGTCGCGTGGGAGGAGACACGCTCCGACCACCCAGGCGTCGGCTGCGGGGTATCATAGCACAACATATCCACGTCGTCGTCGTCTTGTCCAACCCACCCCTCAGAAAGTTGCGTCCCCACCTGGCTACGAGGACCGGGACTATCTGGACTCGCACTCTGAGGACGGAAGCCCACCCCACGTCTATCCCGCGCCAGCCATAGCTCTTCCACAGAGTGTGGCGAAGGCGTCAGCGGTCTGAAGTCGAGCAGCTTCCCCACGGCGCGCCACGCATCGCTGCCTGCCAGAGCATCGCCGCTAGGTTCGGAGACGGAGGAACGAGGGCTATCGTGAGCGGGAGCAGGGCGGGAAGAGGCGTTCAGGTCAGGACAGCGAGCAGAGTACGAGAGCTGTTTCAGCAGCGGCTCCACAGAAGATTCGGGTTCTGATCGGAGAGCGGACGTGTCCAAACCAGGAGGGACTGGTGCACCCGAGCGATAGGAGAGAAAAGTAGCAGGAGAAGAAACATCGGACAAGGCGTTACGGTTATCTCGAGGGCTAGGGAAGTTGTCAGCAGGGTGTGCTTGAGTCTCGAACCGAAAAGCGCAGCCAGATTTCTCGGAGCGGACAGAAAGCGGGGTCACAGGATGGTCACCGTCAACATCGAACTCCGAGAACCCGGAGTCTGCGAAGGCATTCACGTTCACCGAGGAATCTTCTCGTAAGGCAGATCCTGCGTGGTCGGAGGCGCATACATCGACTTTGATGGCGTGGAACATAGGCGACGAACAACGAGGTGGTTGGCCAAGGGAAACAGACGACGAGGGGCTATACAGTGGACGGAGCGTATCTCCCGAGGGCTTAAGAGGCGTGCGAGGTAAGCTGTCAGAGTTAGGACTAGTAGAAGTATTGACACCAGCGACGTCAGTTTTCAGTTGCTCTGGGACAAGCTTTATCTGCAGAAACTAATTCAGTGCGGCAAGAAAAATGCAACGCAGCGCCTACCTTCTTATTACGAGAACTCTCAACAGGTGATCGTGGTTGGGGGAAGGTCTTGTGTTTGAGGCTCGATCTATCGCTCCACGCATGCAACCCCGCAAAATCCGGCATCGCGAGCAACTGCGCTTTCCTCGCCTGGAATGATATTGCTACAAGAGTAAGAGTCCACGAGACATACAGCAAGCACGAGTGAGTGAGCCTCAGAAGCACCGAAGAAGAAAGGGCAATAGGTACGTTCGGATAAATCCAAAGCAGCAAGGACCTTCGACGCGCCGCGGCGGGGGCTTGAAAAATGGCGGACGGGTGTCGACGGCGGCTCGACGTATGAGTGCCCCCCTAGCCCAGAATCTTCTGAATCCACAGCGGAAGCAAGAGACTTGCGAGCATGTGCCAGCCCAATATCCTCGAGTCCGCCACCGTTTTTAGCGTTCTGCATCGTACCCCCGCCGCCGACTCCCCTAGCCAGCGCAGACTCGAGGCGCTGTTTACCAAAGTAGCCCTTCTGGATCCGGGATGCGTGGTCTTTCTGGCGCGCGCGGGCGGCGCTCCTACATTGAAGTCAGTCAAGATTTAGCCTGGTTGCATATAGCTGATTTATGTCGCGGTTGGAGACCTTTTTCCCCCCATGTAGTTCGCGCCAGCCATGAGTAGAAGCTTAACAGGGAACCGAAAGGATTCAAGTTCTTGGGCTGGAGGCACTACACCGTGCAAACGGTAGGGAAAGATACACGACCAGGGCTGAGCGCTAAGCCGCAAGACAGCAGACGGTACAGCAACAGGGAGTCAGAGAGGATGATGAAGCAAGACGAAGAAAGGTCGAAGCAAGGGCACATCCAGCTGTGGCTCGTACTGTTTGGTGATATTTTCTTTCGTGGCTGATGGCCTCGCTCTCCGCTTGTGGTACGCTTTTCTTATTTCTTCCCCACCGATGCTCTTTGCGTTCGAAGCAACTAAGCAACACAATGTATCGAGCTTGACTATCACGGAGGCCTTCGGCAAGCTACGTATGTTTACCCTCTACTAAATCTAACTACATCCTACTTACCAGCCATATACTTATAACACCCCCAAATTAGCCCTCGTGAACGCGCCTCTACTCACCTCCGCCTGCGCGGTCACCCTGCGGGATCAATACCTGCAGGTGAGCCTGCCCGCTCATGATCATCAGCCGACTCAAGACTGGTTCCCACGTTCTGGAGAATGGGAGCCACTGAGTAGGTTCAACGACTTGGAGTGGCAGTAAATATTGCCACTCCAACTTACGACAGAACCTGCAAGCAACCACGGTACCCGCAGCGAGCCTGAGCGTTGCGGAGGCTCGTCGGCAAGCTATGTTTACACTCGGAGTCTAAATCCACTCAGGCTATAATCTACCAGCCATATTTAGCAATCCCAAATTAGCTCTCGCGAACGCACCTCTACTCACCTTCGCATGCTCCGCCTGACCGGTCACCATGCGGGATTAATGCCTACAAGTGAGCCTGCCCACTCACCGACGGACCCTTATCGGACGACTTGTCCCCACCGACTGTCATATCGGCTGCCCTTTTGGCAGAAGTGCCCATATATTAGGGTGAGGTTCTACAAATTTCAGTATGGACAGTATTTACCGCAACAACTAACCAATAGATGAATCTGACAGGCAGCTATATCGGACTTTGTGCGCACTTCCCTAATCCTGACGGCACGCCAGTGCCTTCAGCGGGGCTCCTGCGACAATAATATACCGTGGGCGTATAGAGGAAGCGTCCCTTTCCCCGTCGTGACGGCAGAGGGTAAAGGATGAATTACCCGTCCTCCTTTCCCTCTTCCACCACGACGGGGCGGACAGTATGGTCTCCCTACTTCTCTTTTTCGCCGCGGCGGCCTGCGCGAAGGCCAGCTTGGTCATCAACACCACCGCAGGCGCATTTCAGGGTACCACCACTCCCAACGGCACGGAGCGCTGGCTCGGGATCCCGTATGCCTTACCCCCGGTCGGGTCTCTGCGGTTCAAAGCGCCCGTGCCCGTCTCCCAGCCGACGTCCGGTGTGCAGAACGCGAGCACGTTTGGGTACGCATGCCCGCAGGTGCCTTCGCCTAGTCTTGGAGCGGAAATGAACGAAAATTGTCTTAATATGAATGTGAGGCAGCCCCATCTAGTTCTTAGTTAGAGCCTCTCATGGCGGTAATAATACTCAGATATGGCGGCCTGCAAATACGACCTCAGACGCGGCCTTACCTGTACTTGTATGGTTTTATGTCAGTGATCTGTTTCTCTTTTTCTTTGCCTCAATAATTGTAGAGATCATGTAGGGTGGTGCATATATGAGCGGGTAAGCTGTTCTCCCCAAGCATCTCGCCCTTCCTCAATAACATCTATCCCATTTCACTAGTTCAGCCTCTAGCCCTTCATTCGACCCAACGCGTAAGGATATCATACGACGCTGATGAGACTTCCCGCTCTCTCTAACTATATCCCGGCTAATCCAGGAATCATCCAGCGCAGCCTCGTAACCCAGCAACCCATCCTCTTCGTCTCCTTGTACGCCTTTACTCCTCTCTCACCCCACTTCACCTCTGACATCCCACGCCAACGTACAGCAACTACCGCCTGAACACATTCGGCTTCGTACGTCCCACAAACAGCCACCCACCACAGTTCTTTTTTTTCTGAGAGTATCTGTTAATGATGGCAGCTGGCGAGCCAGTACGTCCCGCCCGAAGACCACAACGCAGGCCTGCTCGACCAGCGCGCGGCGCTCGTCTTCATCCAGGAGAATATAGCCGCGTTTGGAGGTGATCCTGCCAAGGTAACCACTGCATCTTCTCCGAAACAACTCGGCTGTTGTATACTGAAAAATCGAGGGGTAGGTCACGATATGGGGTCAGGTAGGGCTTAGCATTTATGACCAGTTCGACAATAATTCTCAGCACTGACATGGCCGCATCGACGAAGTCGGCGGGCGCGGGCGGCGTCCTTACCCACCTCCTGTACCCCGCGAGCCAGACGCTCTTCCGCGCGGCCATCATGGACTCGAACACCGGGCCCTAGTAAGTTTCCCCCATTCCTGCACGAGTACTCAGCGAGCGAACGTTGTACCCACAGCAAGAGCTCGCCCTTCGCGTTCCAATACGACGAGCCCGGCAAACCCTACGCGCGCCTTCTCGCCGCGACCGGGTGCGCCGACGGCCCCGCGTCCTTCGCGTGCCTCCAGGGCGTGCCCTACGAGGTGCGTTTTGACGATACCGACAGAGTACAGGGTTCACGAATGTGAAAGTAGACATTGCTGAACATCAGCAACACCATGGTGTCCGCGACGCTCAACAGCCAGCTGTGGCAGCCCGCGGTGGGGCCTCCAGGCAGTCTGATACCGGTGCGGGCGTCGACGAAGATCGCCTTCGGGGACTTCGTGCGTGTCCCAGTGCTCGCGGGCACGAACGTACGCACCGCCCCTCCCCTGCTTCCCCCCCACTCCCCATCCTCACCTCTCCTGACTGGCAGATGAACGAAGGCACCCTCTTCAGCGAGTCCCTTTACAATCTCTCCGTCCCCTCCTCGCTCGAAACCGCCTCACTCAACACCTTCATTGGCAACTTAGTCTTAGACAACAGCACGCTCACCCCGGATGTCCTCGGCAGCATCGACACGCTCTACCCCGCAAATGACGGGAGCCTCGGCGGGCCGTATCACACGGGCGACAGCCTGTTCGACCGCGCGGAGGCGTACTACACGGACGACTTCTTCCTCAGCGCGCGGAGGTTGTTCTTCGCGAGCGCGGCCCCCGCGCAGCCGGTGTTTGGGTACTGGTTCACGGAGTTTATACCTGGGAATAATCCCGTGCTGGGAGGTGTGTTCTTGTCTTATTCATGTGTGGCGTGCTCAGTCAAGGGTCTTTGGGTAGTGTATCACGGATCTGAGCTGTCCTTGATATTCGGCCCGGTACCCAACCCTATCGAGGATGATTTCGCGAACATCATCGTGGGGCACTACATCAACTTCATCAACGACTTGAATCCAGGAGGTAAGGGCACCCATGCTGCCTCGTGTCTTGAGTGACCATCATGACCTGCGTATAGCTGAATGGCCTCAGTACGACGTCGCCGACCCGACAGTGCTGCAGCTCATGAGGGACAACATCACGGTCCTGCCCGACAGTAAGCGATGTTCGCGCACTGGTGTAGACGGAACTCACTTCTTGTTAGCATGGAGTTTGGCGTCGACGGACTTCTTCAACACCGAGTACGTCCTGAACGAGTTCGAGAAGTAGTGCAAGCATCGGGGGAGATGGAGTTGGCGAAATCTGTCTCTGTACACCGTTGCGATGCGTGACATATTATAATAATGATTCTGTCATAGTATCTAGATCTCTCATACGACACAGGTACACAAGTCAAAGTTTCTAGGAACTCTCAACTGTCATTGTAAGTGTCAATCGCAGCCAGTGAATATCGATGCTCCGGGGGATGCGGGACGTAACTTTCCCCCAACAGGATGTCACCATACAGGGAAGATGGCCAATATAAATGCTTTGCGGGATGACGACGAGTTACACTGAATCTATTCCCAACTCTCAGATACTATCATTTTGGGGGTTCTGTCAAAGTCAGATTTTTGACAGAACTCCGAAATCTCAACAAATATGTATAGGGTGACTCAGCGGATTGGTACATAGGTGAATTGTAACCCGTAGAGAACGCCTGTGAAGTCAGAACTGTCATATCTTCTACCATTGTTGAATGGGAGGACGAATACTGTCCAAACAGCCCAGTGTAATCATGAGAAACAGGCCTGATGTATTAGATCTCTGGGCCTACAGTCTTCCGGCAAATATCGGCTCACCGGGGAACACTTTATTATGTATAGCTAAACATGGTTCACCCACCCGATTGGTGTTAAACCAATTCCAACTGCTCCTATCGTATGTTTGACAGAAGTGCAAGGGTCCTGGGTGTGACAAATGCGTGACGAAATTGGCGCGGATTCCTTACTGTGACTCGCGTGTGACGCTTTGACAGAACTACCTGCGACTGTGGGTCCGTCACCGGCATCTCTCTCTATTATTTTTTGCCCAGTCAATTGAGGTGGTTATTTGCGCAGATAGTACTTAGGAGGGTTTATTATGATGCCTGACTGGAAGTAAAATGATTGTCCAAGGAGCGGGCCTGTGGCAGGCTGTTTTCCGAGATCTTGACAGAACCCCCAAAATGATAGTATTCCCGCTACCGTAGGTAGTGGGTCTTGGACCCCCCGGCCGTTCGCAGGTTTCCTGCGATCGTTTCAAGATCTACGCGATTTATTTGACACTATTTGGCGCTTAACCGTATATGGTGAACGGCAAGAGCGGGACAGGCCTTTGGACCAATCAAAGGTGGGGTCCTTACACATCGAGCAACCGATAATATGACACGCGGTGGCATTCAGTCCCATATGTCAATACAATATTGTGAATTCCACACAACCACCATATACAGTCATATACTCCCCATATGGGAGCTGAGCCACAGACGATCCCCTACAACGGTAATGTCAGGGAATATCAAATAGAAACAAATGCATTACCATATTTGAATATCAATTTCCGCAGATATACCCAGTGATAGAGCAAATATGGATAAATATATGGAACAATGGGGAAGTCCGGTTTTTGGCCTGATACAGTACAATGAATCATAGCTAAAATATCAAAGCACATCTCGGGTTGATAGCGAATCCGGAATATGGATGCAAATAGCGTAACACATAGCATAAAGGTGCGATATACCTGATTCGGGATCGTCCGGTATATAATCGGGCCGCCGACGGGCCGCCAGTGGCTGCATCGGCAAGCCACTCAATAGCCGGCGGCGGCCCACCGGCGGCTAAGAGCGGCTGGGAGAGCGGCTCGCAGCCTGGTACGGGCGCAACCGACTTGTATGCCTAGTTCTAAGATAGTGTTTGTGTTCAGCGGAGCTATATGGAGATGATGAAGTGGACTTACCTGAGATAACATGAGTACAACAGCAAGCTCGTCCGTCAGAGGGAATCGAGCAAAATGACAGAGCACTCGTGTCGGATCAACCTCCTCCAGATCGTCTGCGAGCTGCAACAAATAAACCTCAGCAGGATAATGATCTCTCCATTT